GGATTTTTTAATTATTTATTTTTTTTTCGTCATTATATTCCAGCAAAAGAGTTGTGGAGAGGATAGGACATATTTGTGGAGAGCTTGGGAGAGGATAGGGGTTTTTTGTTGAGGGGTTCATTGGAGTTGGGTGAGAGGCTAATGACTAGGGAGGGTTGTTGGGGTTATGTTAGGATGCTTTTAGGGTTAAAATATGCTAGGATTAGGGAGAAGACTCAAAATGAGAGGAGATAACATAAAAACATAATCATTGTCATTATATTCCCTCGATCAATACATTTGAAAATTAGCTTCAACAATTTTATCATTATTATGTCAAATTGTTGTGGCACACATAAATGAAGATTGCGAATATAAAATTCTAATGAAAATGCAGTAGCATATAATGAATGATGTGTTAGATTAATTAGATCAGGAAGCTTTAAAAACAAATAATTAATGTTATCAAGTAGCTCATGTTTCTCAATGGGATGCATAAGATCTAACAATGACAATTTAAGGTTAAGAGCTAAATCAGGCCATACGTTACTCATGGATGGTAACTTATAGTCAACTCATGATGTGGTGTATAAAAAAATTAAGCTTAGGATCTAAGAATACATGTATGTGTGGGTTAGTAGGAATTTATACATCATCCTTCTTGGAATCGAAATCTCATCAATTATTTCATCAAAGGACGGATTAGAAAAGTTATGTCAAAGAATTGATACCACAAAGATATATGTATCTTAGGTAATAAAGGTGTAACACCCTTCTCAGGAAGAAAATGCTCATTAGAATGTATTCTTGAGGAAGATGGAGGGGTAGAATCATTAGAATGAGAATCTAAGATAAGAGGGGGTATCAATAGAAGAGTCAATAAACTTTTCTATAGCTGTACATATTTCGTTCAAGAAACTTGTTTGAGTTCAAAGTTATTCTTATGTGGTGTAGGTTGGGGTTTCTCGACTAGCTTGATAGGAAACAGTTTTATTATTTTATTATCTCTTTTGAATACATAGTATTTTCTTGACCATAACATCATATAGTCAAAGTCTGCTTATAAGAATGTGTTTTGCCCATGAGGAGGATATCACTCTAAGTTTGATTCTTATAACTTCTTAGTTTGATAAGTACTAGGTGTCTAGCGGTCACAAGTTGGGATGTATTATTTTTGCACAGCTAACATGAAATGTAGTATGTGGCTTAAATTAATAGCTTGTTGTTATGAGTGCTTTAGTTGATATGATATTTATTGCAATTCCTATATCAATAATTTACTCAATTTCTTGTCACATCAAAAGATGCTTTTTCACAACTAATCCTCATAATTAGATTGTGAAATAGAAGTGCATCTCATGTTAGCGAAAGAGGCAAGATTAAATTCATCATCAGATGTGGGTGAATTATCTCCAATTTCTACACAGTCGTAAGACATAGGGACTTTTGTGTCATTTAAGAAGAGAATTTATGCCTTAAATTGATGTTACATGTCACTTTCTTATGTCGCTTAAAAATGGATAATGTTCTTAATGTTCCTATGAGATGTCTTAGTGTGGGTCTTAAGATGGGAAAAAACTAGTTGAGGTGTTTACAGAGGTTGACAGTCTTTCTCATATAATGTTATTCTTACTATATAATAACTTTAAATGATTTTCAATTGAGTTATCTGAGTTTTCAATAATTTTTCCAACAGTCCTTAAATGCATCCCACTTATATCTATGATTTAACATTTAAATCAAGAAATTATTTCATTGGTATGATTTTACATAATGCTCAAAATCATTTCTTTAGAATGAATAGTTGTTATATCATTTAAATATAAAATAAAAAATTTAGACAATATTTTCATTCAAAAAAATAAATAACATTTTATTCATCAAGAATTGTAGCCTATGATTACATTATGCAAAATAGATTAATATTCTAGACTTAATTGATAATTATTTAAAATTATTACAATCTTGCACAAGTGTATTTTACATAGGGTGATCCTTGATGTAATCCAACTGAAATAAGAAAATACTTGGTCAAAACATCTTTGTTTGAACACAAGTAAGAGCTCATGCATTTATATCCTTAATGACTTAAATATAAGCCTTATTAACCCCTTCTTTTCTAGAACTCTTCATAGCACTTCTCTTGGAATTTTACCATATGATTTCTCTAAATCAATAAATATCATATGTAGGTCCTCCTTATTCTTTATATACTTCTCCATCACCTTTATTCTTAAAAATAAGAATCAACATACTCATTCTTCACTCATATAATATCTTTTTAGTCTTCAAAATAGTATTAAAAAGATTAGTAAGCCAAGAAATTCCTTCATCTTCTAAGCATTTAAACACCTCTATTAGAATATCATCAACTCCAACAACATTTTCTTTAAAACCTTTTCGATAAAAATAAAAATCTTTTCATTTAAGGTGCTAAGGTAAATAAAGTCAATTGTATTCTTACAATCTTCATTGAAAACTTTAACAAAATACCTCATCCACTTTTGTTGAATATCCTTTTCTAATAAAAAATATTTTTTAATCTTCATCCTTAATGCACTTCATTTAAACTAAATCCTTACTATTCCTATCTCTTTGTTTGACTAACTTATAAATATATCTTTTGCATTCCTTAGTATTTAATATATTATATAAACCATTAAAAGTTAAGATCTTTGCATCACATTTTACTTTCTCAGACTTCATTACGGGCCTCTTTATATATTTCTCAATTATTAGAATTTTTACATTTAAGTCAATTTTTATAACAAATTTTCTTATTTGTGATCTTTTTTTGCACCTATTGATTCCACCACCAACTATTTTTATTATTATGAGCTGTTTCTTTTGATACTTCAAGCATATTTTTTGCATCATTCTTAATATATTAACTATTTTTTTCCACATAACATTAGCTTTCTCATGCACAGACAAAATCTTAAGATTTAGAATTTTACTCTAAAATATATTTTTATTATATTCTTTAAATTCTCCCATCTAATCCTAAAATGATATTTTATTTTATTTTTTATTTTCTGCCCCTTCATCTTAAAATTTTAAACTAATAAGTGATGCAGGGTACATAAACTTTCACTTGGAATAACTTTACAATCTTTGCAATCTAAACGATCTATTTTTCTTATAAGAAAATAATCAATCTGAATTTTACTATATCCATTATTAGAAGTGATGAAATGCTCATCTCTCTTTTTAAATAAGATATTAGCAATTACAAAATCATAAATTATAGAAAAATATAATATGGTCTTATCACCTTCATTAGTCGCTCCAAATCCATAGCCACCATGAATGCTTTTAAAATCATATACCTTTCTACCAACGAGTCCACTTAAATCTTGTCCAAAAAAACTTTTTCTTGGGGCATCTTTTGTATTAATTCTTCTAACTCATTACAAAATTTTAATTTTGAACACATATTTTAATCCTACTTGTGAAGCATAAACACTTATAATATTAATAATTTTAGCATCAACAACAATATTTGAAGTTATGATTATATTTCTCATTTTATTAATTTTTATATCATTATCCTTCAAACTCTTATCTATAATCACACCTACACTATTTTTAGTACGACTCCTATCAGAACATCATAGTTTAAATCATAAACTATCAATCTCCTTAACATTCTCTCCAACCCATTTAGTTTCCTGAATGCATAGAATATTTATCTTCTTATCAATCATAATATTCCTTACTTCCATTAATTTGCTTGTAAGAGAACTTATAATCTAAGTTTCTATCTTAATTTTAGTTTTATGGACTAGCTCTTTGCCCACATCTATCCATGATGTGGGAACCCTTGCCTATTTAACACTACACCTGGGAACCGGTGCAGTGACCCTTGCACAATTGTCACTGTATTCAATCTATATAGCGTGTCGTTTTCAGGGAAAGCCCTAGCATTTACATAATGTATTAAATTATTCATGTCATGTTTATTCAACAAGTTTTACGCTGGCTGTCGACTACTTAACACAACTCTCCACTTTTTTCATCCAAGACTTGGGAGTTGGGACCTAGCAGTGAAAATGCTAGCTTATATCATTTTACCAAAATTTAAATATTTTTGTAAAGATATGCATGAAAATGAAAAAAAGGTTCACAATGTGGGTACATGTTGTAATTATATTGTGGGTTTAAACACTTTAGTCACTTTGAATTTTTTTTTTCTCAAACTTGGCATTGCTTCAATATACATATTCCTTAATAACTTCATCTCTTTGATTCTCTTAAATATCCTCCAAATGATTTGTTGTGACCCTCTTTAAAATCAATGACGATTATAGGAATTTTTCAATTTTTTTAATTAGCTTTCTTAGCACGAAAATTGACCTTATAGTGGATTTCCTTTGCATAAACATGATTGATTCTCTTTTTGATGCAATTTCTCGTGCTGATATTATGGTACTGTCCCTCGTAACTTTTTTTGGATGACTCCTATAAATCTCTTGAAATTTACATAATAAATATAGGTACTACGATTATATCATGATTGGAGAAAACTCTACTACTCTTTTACTCGAGCAAAAAAAGATATGTCCATCTCTAAGTTGGTGGCTGTACCTACAACGATCTTTACTCAAATATCACTGTCGAACTCATGCATGAGCATGATAAACTGTTAAAAATTTTAAGAGTTGATGATAGAAAATGCACAGTTTTTAACTGTATGATGAGCGCTTTTAAGTATTGTCTAATTCATTATTATATGGAATGTTAAGTGCACATTCCTTGAAATAACTTTTTTATCTTAGTGTTGATACACATTCTTGAGTTTAAATTTGTCCTGTTTTATATGGTTGTGAGCATGCCCTACGTTGTCCATTTGTCTTCTACGACGTAGTACTTCAGCTGCTAACTGTAATTTTTCTTCCCTCGTAGTCTTTTGTTCTTCTGATTCCTGTTGTTGAACATCTTTTTTATTTTTATTTTTCATTTATCTTATATTCATAATGATCTGTTACATGAATTAACTCTTTTCTTTTAATTTTATACAGGTTGTAGACTATGGCAGACGATGCTGATGTAAGTTTTCTTTAGTACAAATTGAAGTTGTTTGCTTAGTTTAATAAATGACCCCTAGAATTTGATTCACACCACATTAAATCTATGCTTTAGTTAGCACTCTTTTTAAATTCTAATATATGATTGTCTCCTTGAATTATTTGATATTCTCTGACCAAGCATTGGTTGTGTTGACTTTGAAGTATATTCTATGTAAACATTGGGTAGCATGTTGATTTTCTAACAGTCATATTTGAAGTTTGAACGGTACAAATACTGTAAGCTTTTATGCTCACGATAACAGCTGTACGCACTGTTTACAAATTTTAGATATAGGATTGACTTGCAGAACTGTAAATACTGAAAATATATACAGAGAATCTTATTTTGTTCATTTTAGTATCACACCTGGACTATTTAAAATTTTCATAGAAAACTAATTTTTGGAAAGAACAGTCAAGGTAGTTATCTAGCGATTATTGAACTAATCATTGTAGGCAGAAACAGATTGTGGTTAAGCCATTTACAATACTTGTTCAAATGTCTAAAGAGCTCTAATTCTTTTTGAAATCTGTTAAATGATTTCTATGCCAGTGCTAGCAACTTTTTTTATCTTTTAATTGCTTTTTACAGGCAGGAAAGAAAGAGGAGGACGAGTTCAACTCTGGTCCTCTATCTGTTTTGATGATGAGTGTCAAACAAAATACTCAGGTATGATACATTGTTGCTTTTAAATTTGATTCAAATATTTCTCTTGTTACACAAGATACTTGTATGATTAATTCCAAGACTCCACTCACCATACCTTTTTCCATTCCAAATACTGGTGTGCAATGTCTAAATATTGTATCTTTTGGGTGAACAGTTAAACTATTTGATTAGAATTACACAACCTTGAAAAACAAGAACAGATAGATGGTTTTGAAGAATCAAAAGAGGAGGGTGTGGAGTAGGAAAGAGGTTAAAAATATGAGGGACAAGGACTGGCAACGATTGAGTAGCCTACTTTGTGTGTTGGCAGTGGTAACTGTGGAGGTATGCCAGCTTGGAAGAGGAAGTTAGGACGAGTGCAGTTTGAGTAACTTGTTTGCTGCTGTAGTTCTCTGACGTAGTTGATTGGATGATTTTGTTGTTTCCTGGCTGTGTTATAGTGTTAACCAAGGTCCCAACAAATGGAAATTTTAGTGAATTTTATTTGATGTACCTTCATTCATAGCAATATCATCCAAATCTCAAAGAGCGCTATTAAATCTCAATCCCTATTTTTTCACTTTCATCAAACTTTCAATAAATTAATATTAGACATCAATAAATATTATTGGATCCTAAGATAGTACAATCAAATTGTGAAATATATAATAAAGTATTAGTTTATTTCTTTTATTCTAATTTTTTGTTTGTTGTAGGTAAGCCGGTTCTATATTGTAAAACACATCCTATTGTAAGAAAAGGTTATGAAACGAAAATTTTCTGATTTCTCTCTTTTTTCCTCTTCTACGCTTGGAGTATACACCTACTCTAAAGGTGCTTACCATATTGGATGTCAAAAAGCTTAACAAATGATGATCTTGTTGCACTTAACCTCAAGCCACTGCAAGCAAGAAGCTTCTTCCCTTTGGTTCTTCTTTCATTCCCACAGTACAGCCATCAAGATTCCCATTATCCTCTTCTTCACACCTGCCGGCCAGACCCAAATTCAGTCCATGCTTTCTTCCTACAGCCGCAAATCTCCGGTCTTCCACAGCTTTCAGCTCCAGCAGACAAATCCAATTCCTCGGGATCACCATTTCTTAATCATCTTCATCCATTCGCTGCTAACAACCACGGTTTGCTTCTTTTGTAACCACGACATGCCAGTGCATCCATCATTGATGTCCATCTTCAGCTCCTTTAGCCTCAAGAATCATCCATCTACGGCTCCTTCAGCTCCTTTTGCCTTCAACAAACACCTAATTTTCTTGCCATAACATTCTCCTGTTGCTTGCCAATTGAACAACAACTATCTGGAAAAAACTGCAACCATTTGGAATGGAAATTCAGACAGCCTTCTGCCTGCCTAAACAACACTTCTTGCTTGTTCCTTTTCAAGATTTCATCAGGTTCTCCGTTCCTTTGTCTTCTTTGTTGAACATTTTTAATAAAAATCCCTCTTCTACTATTTTTTTTCCTTTGTTTTTTACAGTTACTAATTAAAGAATCTCAACTTTTCAACCCTCCATCCACAAACACCAATTCAACATGAAGAATGCAGATTTGGCAGAAGCTTTTTGAGTATTGCTTTGAGCAATACAATCCAATCAAGAATTACAATTCTCCAAAATACAAAAATTCTACAAGCCGATGTTCAATTTTCTTTCATTGGCTCATCCCTTCAACAATTCCATGCTTTCATGAATTCCGTTGACACAGGACTTGACGGTTTGTGCCTCGACCACAAACCTCATCCACTACATCAAGATCTTTCTTCTGCTATTATCATTGGTTCCACCGGATGAATTCCTTCTACACAAGCATCACCTTCCCCTACAGGTTTTTTTTATATCAATAAAAATTGAACTTCCTGCCTTGTTGGATCTAACGTCGAAACATGGACCTTTAAAGCACAATCATACTTTGATTTTCACAACACTCTTGATTGTCATCCCGTTAGAATTGCCTAATTTTACCTTGAAGGTTCGACAGCTTCTTGGTATCAACAGTCATGAATGAATGGTCATTTACTTTCTTAGCCCGAATTTATTTTATCTTTACAACAACGTTTTGGTATTTATCTTTCCGAAGATTTGCATGGTAATCTTTTTAAATTAACTAAAAAAAATTCAGTTATGTATTACCTAACTTCATTTGAAAATCTTTCTTTTAAAGTTCCAAATTTATCTTAATCCATTCTCATAAATTCTTCATTTTTGAACTTAAACAAGAATTACATCGTGAGCTTTTACTTGTAAGACTTGCTACCCTTATGGATGTCGTGGAAATTAGCTAGACAACATGAATCCAAAATCCAAGAAATTTTCTTTGTTTCATCCTCCACTTGGCACCAAACTCTTCATCACAACCACAAAAAATTATACAGACACCTACTCCAATACAATCTTTTTCCCAATCTTCCATCCCCTTGACCCCATCAACTCTCCACAACCCTAAACCTCCAAACCTTTCAATCCGCAAACTCTCACCAGCTAAAATTCTATTTTGCCGTGAAAAGGTCTTTGTTTCAATTATGTTGCTAAATTTGGTCCTCAACATTGTTGTCCAAATAAATTTTATCTTTTATTCGGTACAGACGATCAAGATGTGGTAGATGACCCCCTCCCCTCCTTTACCTATGACGGGGATAACCAAAATCCACAACTTGAAATTAGCCTATATGCTTTTAGTCAGACAATTCAATCCTTGTTCTTTCTAATTAATCGGGTCAATTAACAATTACAATGTACATTTCTTAATTGACAATAATCGCACTCATAATTTAATTTAGGACAATTAATTTAAAAATTAGGTCTTCACCAACAACTTATTCAATATTTATGTTGGAAATGACAACTTATGATGTAAGGCTAAATGTCCCAAATTAAATATTACTATGAATGACTATCAGGTTTTTTATACTTATTTATTCTCTCAATTCATGGTGGTTATATAGCTCTCCGTATGCAATGCCTTCAATCCTTAGGACCTATTTCACATAACTATCAAAATCTCACCATGCAATTCACCTATCAAAATCATACTATCACACCCAAGTTTATTTCTTTTATTTAATCAAATATGTGCTGTGATGTCTCATTAACCCGCTGTTCAAATATTTACCATACTATCACTATATTCAGATGAAATTAGCTAGACGTGATAGGCAGCAACTAATAGTTTGCTTTCTTGAATGTTAAGAAGCTTAACGGTCAGTTATGACACATGCAAATGGAGAGATTCTTAAATGAAGATTTGAGTGATACCTGTTTGTAACTTGTGATATTTTCCTTAACCCCACCTACTTACAATTAATGATTTAAATTTTGTCTTTTTTGTTCAATTGACTGCATGCTGCTATATTATCTTTCATATTTGAGTGTTTTTTTAAGCAGTCCAAACTTGAAAATATGGCGTCGTCATTTCCCTGTTGCCTCAGGTACTTATTAATTGCCGAAACAATCGGAAGCTTCTTGGACGTGTCAGAGCCTTCGATCGTCATTGCAACATGGTTCTAGAAAATGTCAGGGAGATGTGGACCGAGGTACTTTTTCTTTATTTCAACATTTCATTTCGAAAAAAAAAAAGATTAGAATTTTCTGATCAGAATACAAATGAGTAAAGAATTCATATCTTGATCAAATTTGAGGAGGAAATCCTTACACAAATCTTCAAATCTGTGTAGGATATTTTGATCAATTCTTTTTTTATGAAAATATAATATTTGTTTTAATATGAGTTCAATATAAAATTTGATCAAAAAGTTTTCCTTCATTTTGGTCTTTTTTCCTTGACCATATTGTTTTTGCTGAATCCATCTATTCTCCAGGTTCCAAAAACTGGTAAAGGCAAGAAGAAAGCATTACCTGTGAACAAGGACAGGTTCATCAGCAAGATGTTCCTCCGTGGCGACTCCGTTATAATTGTTCTTAGAAATCCCAAGTGAGGAATGAGCTTTTTATCTTTATCTCCATACCTTTTTCTGTCTGGAAACTTAGTGGAAGACCTTTTAACGACTAATTGTTCCTGCATTGAGTGCTTCAGAAGATATATCAGTGAATCTTCACAATATATATGTAATGTGGATTAGTTTTCTGATTTACATATCTTTTGGCGCCTAATACCGTATAGTTTTGGTTATATGTATTTTTTTATGGATAATTCAACTTTCTGCACTTTTGAGGACATTTCTAAACTATGTTTCCTTCTTTGTTTCGTTTTGCTTCAATGGAAGATGTGGATTTTGTCTTTTGTTTTAGAGAAGCTCTCAACCAGAGGAAATTGATGGTTGTTTGGTGCTTTGTATTTTGGGATCATGATCATATTTTGCTTTGGCTGTCAAATAAATAAATTATTTATAGATTTTGCTGCTAGTGATGTGTATTTTTTAAATGATTGTTAAGATAGAGCTGCAACTATGCTCGTATTTGGCAAAATTAAAAGGGTGTTTTTTAATGAATAAAAAATCAATTGATTTAGGATTTGTATGGATTATAAGTCCAAGCCTTGTACTCTTAATACATTTTTTTTAACAAAGGTTTTTCAATATATAAAGTGCCAAACACAAAGTTTAGCTCAGATGACATAGAGGTTTTATATAGTATAATTACTAATTATTTTATATTTTTGGAATTTTAATCAAATTCATTTGGAATTTCATATACTGAACTGGGTATCTTGATTGGAAGTCCAAACCCATCAAATTAGATTTCTTTTGTGTTTGTGATGGTTCTTTTTTACTGCTTCTTAAAATAATAAAATAATTTTCTAGTATTAAAATTTTAATTTTGTATTAAAAAGCTGTTTTAAGTAGTAAGAAAACTGTAACGGTAATACCTTGTACTTTCATGCGATGCCTCAAAAGAAACAATAGGTCTGATTAATCAATTCTTTCTTCTTCATGTATCTGCAAAATATTACGTGCAGAGTCTAGATGTAGCTCACATCCCGACTCTGATGACATCAAGCCATTCGGACTTGATTTTATTGGAGTCCAAACCTATTCAAGCCATTCGGACGCTGCATGTAATAATTTTTTCAGGTTAAGACTCTTTCAAGGTCATTGTTCACTGGTATTTTTTTATAAATATTTTGCCAAAATCAATCACGGTTGCTACATCTAATCTATGAACTGTTTATGTTCTGTTTGGCTCCAATAATTTTTTAACCGTTCTTTAATAAAAAAAATATCATGTCTCTTATGGTTGAATCATATTATAGTGAGTGCATTCAACAATTACAATGCATAGAGGAATTTGATGCTCACCAAGATGGATGAAGCAAAAAAAAAAAAAATAAATCAATTGATCATCTCACCATTATTTTATTTTATATATCTCTTGTTACTCAATGAAAATTACTGAAAATCACCCATGTAGTATTTTTCCTAAGCAAAGAAAGCTCTGTAATACTTTAGCTATTCTTTAATACCTTGTGCTTTCATGCGATGTCTCAAAAGAAACAATAGGTCCGATCAGATGCTTTAATCAATTCTTTCTTCCTGTATCTGCAAAACTGCAATTTTAGATAGTTCAGAAGACTAACTAAAATGCAAATCTGGAAGCAGAAAACAAAATTTATTTACATCATAGGCAGGCAGGCAACAAGTCAATAGTTGTGAACCTACGAGTTAAGAAGAGATGCTAAATGACCATCAGGTGAAAGAATGGATGATTTTGGCACTTCCTCCACCTTCCCTCCTTCCACCAGGAGAACCCTGTCGGCCATCATCATCGTTTCGATTCGATGCGCGATAATCAGAACCTGAAATCCTAATCCAGGTTAGGGGAAAATAAAATAAAAGACAACTAGATTCACAAACATAGTAAGAACCTATAAATTTTTTTTTGGGACATTTAGACTAATTAAGGCAGACTCACACATACATCGCATACACAAGACTCGAATTCAGAACCTATTAATTGGTAGCTAAGCTTCCAATCAACAGACCAAAATGAGTTGTGTAGAACCTATAAATTCAAAACGCACTTAAATCTGTCTCTTTTATAATAATTACATACATAACACAAAAGTCTTAGAATATTTACAAAACAACTCTATCCTATCTCCAATTTTCATATTAGAAATGTCAAAATTCACAATAACATTCCAACCTATATTTTTTGCTTTCATCAAATTTTCAATAGTTTGATTGTAACATGTGAAAAAATTACATCGGTGTTGGTACTATAAATAGACAAATTTAAATATAATGTATATAATTCCCCCAAAGTTTTATCATGCAGTTGCAGAATGCTTTTCTTTTCAAGTTGTCCGCTCTTGAGAAATTACGGCGTTGTTTGGGACGATTTTTTTATTGCTTCTTAAAACAGCTTTATAGTTCAAAAATTAAATTTTTGTACTAAAAAACTGCTTTATGAAGCAATACAAAAGCCGTCCCAAACGAATCATATATCATTAAAAGCCATGAATATGATCTCAGAAGGTTTCATAGTTCTTAGATAGCTTTTTGGTGCATTATATCATTTTATTTTAAGGAATTTATTAAGTTAGTTTGATGTAATGTTTAGTTACATAGGGGTTTCACTTATTTTAAAGTCCAACAAACCTTTGCAAACAATGAAAAATTCAAGCACAAAGAAAATGCCATTCCATAAAAAAGATTGTATTTAAAATGAATCTACTCTTTCAGATACTAGTTTATTACACTCACAGTGTTATTTGTCATTAAAGGCTCCAGAGCTTGACTGAATAATTGCTCAGACTTGCTGTCTAGTGCAGAAGTTGCTTCATCTAAAATCAATATTGAGGACTTCCGATACAATGCTCTTGCAATGGCAATCCTGCAATTCAAACAAAGCGTAGTGAAATCAATCAATAAAATTTTGCAAAAGAGGAATTTAAATATATAAAAAAAAAATTTTGTTCCACCTTTGCCTTTGACCGCCACTTAAAAGAGAGCCCCTTAACCCAATATTTGTCTGGTAGCCATTTGGAAGTTCCCTAATGAACTCATCAGCATTGGCTATCTTTGCAGCATTCTCAACACATTCCATGTCTAATTTTCCGGAAGCATCTTTATAGCCAATATTTTCTGCTACAGTGCCTAAAAATAGCATCTATATAGCGATAAATAGGCTAAAACAAGAAGGTAATTAATCATTGTCTAAGAAAAAGATGGACGAAGTTACCCTTTTTGTTTTGTAAAGAAGCTATAAAAATGTATTTTTTTTTCACTAGTGGGAAAAAACCTTTCACAAATATCATAAGATTGATTTCAGGAGATAGTTTGACCCAACAAGTTGAGGAGTTGTAATAAATGGAAAAAAAAAAATGCATCAAGATGTTCTAACGTGATTTGCATCAGGGCAGGCTTCAATGTCCTTAGATTTTTGCCGACATTAAAGCTACAAGTGATATCTAAGAGTAGCACTAATCTCATGACAAATTCATGACCTGTTTTGATGCAAATCATGTTAGGACATCCTAATAATAATTTTTTTTTCTTAAAAATGTATGCAAGTATGAATCAAATAATAAAAAAAATAGTTATGCCAGAAGAGGATTGTCTAAATTAAAAAGATGAAATGTCTTAGATCTTTCAAGCTTGGTCATAATATAGGTACACCATAGTGTTGAATTTGAACCAAATAGATCTGGGGTAGGATAGGATATGTAGTTGCACTAAAAAAACAGTCATGGAAGTCTAAGAATAGATCATACAAAAGGAGATTTTGCAGTAAAGCGTGAAGGTATATGATTTGTTATGCAGGTAAATATGCGTGCTTTCAAAGAAACGTAAAAAATAAATTTTTATAGAGTCAACAATTACCACAAAGCTAGAAGTTTTCAAACAAAAGGATAGTTAACAAAATAAAATGTATAGCTGTTGATGATTTATATAATATGCTAGGTGCTTCGAAATGAAAAAAACGAGAGAAATAAAAAGAATAAAAAAAGATAAATTAGATCTAAAGACTTTAATAAAATTAGATGTATTAGAGTGAAGTGAAGATGTTTTTTAAAAGAAATCAAGAAAAATTTATTGAATATTTTAAGAGAAATTTTAAAAAAACATCTTCACTTCACTCTTTTAGAAATCTTCACTTCAATATTTTAAAAATCTTCACATCAAATATATCACAATAGAATATTCAAGGATAAAATAAAGAATTAAATTTCTGTATTTTTATTAGGATGTTTCTAAAAGATATTCAAAGTTGAGTATTTTGGTGCATGTTATTTGTTAGAAGAAAATTACTACTCCATCTTGTTAAAGATCAAGTGAACTTCACGTATGATAACTTGATATATTTTGTATATATCATACAAAAGAATAGGTGTATCAATGACAAAAAAAATATAAAATTACAATAATACGATTAAAATAGAAAAGTGCATTAATAGTTCTATCAATTAAGAGAACATTAGGAAGACTTTAAGATAAATATTAAAAAATTTCAACCAGGCCACCCATAATATATGAATTTGAGTGCGGCTAACAACAAAGTCACGAATAGCAAGATGAGTATGGAAGATATGAGAATTTGCGATAAAACAAAAAGGATAGTGATTAACAATTCTTTTTGAGTGATGGTGAGACTGGCACATATTGGTAATAAAATATCAAAAAAAATAATTAGCTGGCCCAATCATGCACAATGGATAATATAGCAAGCATCAATAATAGGGATGGATAGAACTAATTTTAAAAGTTAGGTGGAAATGGATAGACCAAGATAAAATGGTTAAATAATGTTAAAAAGGATTTATGAAAAATAGAGCTTGTGTTGGGCTCAAACAAAAATGAATGGAGTACTATACATCAAACACAGTGTTGGGATAAAGTCAAACATGATGAAGTTGAAGCATTCAATTGAGTATGAAAGTAACATTATTCATATTAAAATCAACATGAGCTTACTCCAATTTATTGGGGGATAAAAAATATTGGATGCTACAAAAAATAATAAAGGAGTAGAATTAGTAACATCTAAAATGGTTCACTCACTTTAGCTGTTAGAATTTATTAAAGGATCCATAATATCATACAGAATCACATTGATTAAGACATGTTCAATAAAGATGATGAGATGTTCTTTTTTTTTGGCTAAAATAATTGTTGTGCTTCGAAATAACATAGTATAAACGTTTTTAGTTTATCTATTTAGGGGAACTTTTTTTAAATTTGTTTAGGACTTTTTTTATAATTATTCTTATGTGTTTTTTTCTTTTCTATTAATGAGATCCTAGGACTTTATTATTACGGATTGAATGATTGAGTTGTTATTAGAATTCTCCTATCTTATGTTCTTTTTCTCTAACTCCTCTCCTCTTTCCTGCCTCACACCTCGGTCATAGCTCTCTCTCATACCCCTTCTCTCCCTATATCCTCGAACTTAATCTTCTATCTCCATCCCTATCACCTCTCCTTCTCAACCTACCTTTATCCAACCACTATTCTCTAAATCCATATTCAGAAACTAGATATATATATATATATATATATATATATATATATATATAATATCCAGTTTTTAGCCAATTTGCTTTAATGAAATTAAGGGTCTCATCTTCCCCTATGCTGCATGGAACTAAACCATCGCAACCAGCCAAAACCTAAAACAGTAACCAATGGCATCACCAATGCTATCACAAATCCTCCGACTTCCATGTGCCAATTCTAATTTTGGGGCTAGTTTGTCGAGCTCCTTAAAGAGAGTTCTCTCTCTCTCTCCTTTCATTCTCAAAAACAAAGTTTAAATCCATTTTTTTTATTTCGTATCAATAAGGATAGGCATAACTCATATCTGACCGAAGCAAAGAGTTTAAATTAAAGAAAGAAATCATTTTTTCTTTGACAATTCAAAGATAAAAGTCGGTTAAGTTTTTTTTTTTTTTTTTTTCAATTCCAACATCATTACCTAGCATTAGTAAGAATCAGCAAATAAATTGATGCTACCTTACTAAAAGAAATATTTTGAAGGCCAACCTCAAGAGAGCTAAATTGAAAGACATAAGTTGCACATGTATGGTCATCCAGTTCCTCCTCCAAAGGTACATATCTATTACACATTGAATACTACACCAATAAGAGACTATCTTAAAGAAATACAAGGATTTCAAATACCACAAATGAGTCATTAGACATGCCAATTTGATGCAATTATAGGCCTTACAAGACAATTCTGATTGGTCAATAAAATTTCTTTGTTTTTTGTTTTTCTTGAATTTAGTTAAATTGTATTGAAAGGAAAAGATGTCAGATTCTGTCTGTTTTTCATTTTCCTCGAAATTCACATTCACGTCCATCCAATGCAAAACTATATAGGTAAAAGTTTTTTTTTTTTTTTGTATTTGCCTAATTAACAAAATTCCTTTCTGTAAACAGAACCATCATCTGCTAAGGAAAAATGAATAATATAATGATTTAATGCCATGATCAAGCTAAAATAATCTTAGAAGATGCCATAAGCAAACAAATACATAAAAAATATTCTTATTTTCCAGTAAGCGTATAATTCCAGCCATATCATTTAAACAACTATTTGAAGGTATTCTCAGTGATCTGGAAACCTTAAACTAAAAAAAGCACTCAAAAAGAAGAATAGAGAATTTTCAAGAACGTACTGTATCCTGTGGAATCAGAACTATGTGCTCCCTTAAGTTTCTCAATTTTACCTCCTGAATATTATAGTCGTCAAGAAATATGTCACCTACAATATGAAAAAAGAAATTCGATAGTATGAATGTGCAAAAAAAAAAAAAAGCAAAAAAATATGGGCACCAGAAGTATAAAATTATTGGCCATTCAACTAACAATAAACCATTCTGCAAACAGTGACAATGAACAAAAGCAGCATATTAATAAATAGCATTCATTGACATATTGAAATTACGATTGTAAAAAAAGAAAATTAATGAAATAAATGAACAACTAACCATATAGAGGATCATATAGCCTAAGTAGCAATTTTACGATAGTTGTTTTTCCTCCTCCAGATCGACCAATAAAAGCAACCCTTTCACCACGTTTGATAAGGATATCCAATTCATTTAAAATAAGAGGCATATTATCCCCATATCTAAACGTAACACCAGAGAATTTTATGTCCCCAGTGACATGGCATAAATCAAGTGCATTTGGTTTCTCAACCACCTATATGCAATAATAATAAAAAAAAACATTAGATACTATTTATTTCAAATAAATTAGCTCGAGAGAATAGCGAAAAAGCAAATTATCAATCATAAAAGTGAAAATGCAGAATAACTTTATATTAAATCTTTTAAAAAAGATAATTATCATATAAACCCGAATAAAAAAATGTAAGTTAAAAATTAGTTCAGCATTTCTCTTTTTAATTAATTTTAAGAGTATATGCTGCCTCCCTCAACTGCCTTAGCGCAGCTTTTAAGCAAAAATAACCGAATTTAAAAAGAAGTAAAATTATCAGTTCAGAAAAATGATCAGGCAATAAAACAAGCAAGAAATTACATTTTTCCAGACAGTTAAGTGTTGTTAACCTTCATATGTGATTCACAAGAGTCGACCCATTCTGTTCATATTATAACATCAAAAATTTGCTATGCCCAACAGAGAATTCAAATTTACATGCGAATGCTTCGAAAAAAGGGGAAGGGAGAAGAATAAAATAATATTAGATACTACATATGTAATAAAAATATAAAATAAAAAAACAAAATAAAAAAATGAAAAATAATTATAATAATAAAGAAATAAATAAGTAATGAAAAATGAAAAATGAAAAATAGGTGGGGCATTGTAGCCAATGTAGGTTCCCCATGGCATCATTAAATAGCATATTTAAAGAAGTTGTGTAGCCCTATTACTTGAAATAAAAAAAATCCCATAAAAATACACCTACTCCACTTGCTTCGTAAGTGTTGTATGCGCTCTACTAGGAAAGTCTGTCTCAATTTGTAACACTCCAAAAAGCATATAAATTAGTTAAAAAAGCATGTAAACTCATTCTCATGTCTGAATAATTACAACCAAGTGACTCTCATGGTTGAGTTAATGATAGGAAACACTTGTAGAACTCAAGAATTATATAACAATCTTTAGAAAACAGCAAGAAGTCTCCACCAAAAGCCACACAAAACTAGGAAAACAATAGATAATTTGTATTATTTGATGAAATGGAAACATAAAATACCAAGATACAGTTGATCCTCTATTCGAGAGGAGGATCTATCTCTCCCAAATCTCTAGACTCCGCTAGAGCCCAAAAACCTAAGAGATCTCAAATTTTAGCCAAATTCAAGATGCCCTAACCCTAAGAAAACCAACTCTTTAATGAATATAATCCAAAAGGAAATCTCTAAACAGTCCATACATTCAAATTTCCCTCCTAACTCCCTTTAAAATCCTTCATGAATAGCTATGTTAGACCTGGGCGGTCGGATTATGCGTACATGAGGCGGAGAAGTTCCGCTTGTTTCGCACGAGTCGGTCCCCTAGGACCGGCTGGACCGGTCTAACAAAACTCTCATCTCAAAGACCCACCTTGTATGCAAGGTGGAAAGACAACACCCTCCTCCATTCCCTCTTCATCATAAACGATAAGAACCTGCAGAGTTTGGCCCTTACACGCAGGTAAGAACAGAAAAAGTTTACTCCCAAGGTTGTTGAAGGTAGTCATTTTATGAGATATTTGACAATCAGAAGGGCTTCCCCCCAGTAGAATTTGGGTACATTGTGGAGAAATAGAAGTGCATGGGTGGAGGCCAAAAGATGTCCATTTTTTCTTTCTACAACTCCATTTTATTGTTAGATATGAATGCATGAAGACTCATGAATGATACATTCTTTTTGAAAGTAGGAGGATAAAATTTGGTTAAAATAATCTTTGGCATTGTCGGAACGAAATTTTCTAATTTTTACCCCTAATTGATTTTGAATCATGGTGTGAAAAATGGGAAGGATAGTGCTCACATCGGATTTATTTTTTAGCAGAAAGATTCAAAAGACTCGAGTGCAACTATCAATGAATGATACAAACCATCTGGCCCCTAAGATGTAAGAAATTTTTTAGGGTCCCTAGATATCACTATGAATAAGGTAAAAAGGAGGATATGATATCTCTCAATTTTGTTTGGAAAAGAAACTCGTTTATACTTTGCTAACACACAAGTTTCACAATGAAAAGATTCATTTTCCAACTTGTAAAAAAGTTATGGGTACATATTTTTGAAGACATCAAAAGTTAAATGTCCTAATATAAAATGATGAAGAAAAATAATAGATTTTCCATTAAATAAGGATAACATATAATAGCCATTATTGATAATAGTGGATTTGTTCAGCTCTTTCAGATAGTACAGTCCATCTCTCTCCTTAGCAAGTCTAATCTTCTTCCCCAATCTATGGTCCTAAAATAAGTAACAAGTAGGGTTAAATAGGACTTGACAATTATGATCACTGGTAAGTTTTTGTACAGAGATTAGGTTTATGGATAATTGAGGTACGTGGAGCATATGTTTTAGAGAGTGAGGGAGGGAGTAAAAGGTATGTATCATTGGCCTGCTACTGTGATAAGGGAACCATCAACAGTGGTGATTTTCTTATCACTCGGGCAAAGAGTGTAGTTAATGAAGTGGATAGTAGAGCATGTCATGTGTGATCTGTGACTCATGAGTCAATGATCCATACTCCTTTCAAATGATTTCTAGAGGCACTTAATTCAATGGATATAGGAAATCTACCCGAAAGTGCAAGAGAAGAAGATGATTTTTCAAGTGATACCAGGAGCTATTTTAGCTTATAAATATCTTCTTTGTTAAGCTCTCTGAAATTGGACTGTATTTCTAAGTTGGGCTGGCTTGTTGTTGTGTTAGCTTGTGATGTTCCCTTTTATCTATTTCTTTGAATCCACTCATTACTTAGAGGATTTTTATGTAACTTCCAGCATGTCTCCTTTGTGTATCTTAATTTCTTGCAATAATTGCACCAAAGGGAATTTTTGCCTAAGTTTTGAGAACTATTTATCTCTTTCCTTACATGATGCCTCTTTGACTTTCACCATTGTTGAGCCTTTAGCAATCTTTGATTATAGCATTACGCCTCGTTGGCTTTTCTTAGCACGAATAAGAGAAATGATCTCATTTAGTAAGGGCGTCTCCTCTTTGCCAAGGATCTAAACTCTAACTTGGTCAAACTCTATATTTAATCCTGCAATAAAGTCATAAACTCTACCTTTTCTTAATAAAGTTTTTTAGAATAGCTCCATTTTCTGAACACTTGGTCTCTATGCATCTGTAGTGATCAAGTTCTTGCCACAAGCTTTGACGGAGAGTGGCATATTAAGTCACGGTCTTGCTTCCTTGTTTTCTGCTTCCCACCTTGGCTTTAATTCAAAGATTTGGGCATCATCCAGAGCTTTTGAAAAGGTTTGCCTGGCTCCATCCCATATGTCTTTTGCAGTAGATAGAAACATGAAAGCATTGCTAATTTTGGAGTCATGGAATTCCCCAACCATGGCATAATTGTGGAGTCTGCTTCATCCCATGTGCAAAAATTAGGATCTTCTTTTTTTGGTCCTACCCCAAGGAGGTGATTCATCTTTCCTTTTTCTTTCAAATAGGTCTCACAAACTGAAACCACTTCAAATAATTCTTCCCATTTAAGCGATATGGAGGTTGCATATTTTGGAGATCTCCTCTTCCTTGGTGCACCATGGAGTTCTCTATTTGATCAAAGCTTTGGGAGGAATTTGCTTCAGACATTGTGATGAAAAAGGGCAACAATGAAGGCTATATCAAGTAGGGAAGTAATAAAGGCTTTGTTGGTTATAGATAGGATAACGACAACAAGGGAAGGCTGGCAATGAAGGCACGAAAGTACAAAAAATTCAGAATTCTGGCAATGACAATGAAGGATCTGATACCATGTTAAATTTAGAGAATTGGAGAGGAAAACTTGTCACTATTTATAGATCTATACAAGATATTTTAATAAAGAAACAAATAATTATAGAATAATGCTTTATTGCTATAATAAAATCCTTCCAAAATCAGTCATCTAAATATGGAAGGAGATCAGCGTGATCCAGGTGAACCTCCCACGGATTTCCATCTTAGCCATGGGATCAAAATGCCAAGGGACGGCTAGGATTTAATAGGTGAGCCTACCATGGATTCCAATCCTAGCCATGGGATCAAAATGTCAATGGATGGCTTAACACAAAATGCTGTCATATTTATTCAATTTTTGCTATTATGGGCATATAAAATCAAATTTATCCTATGAAATTTAATTTTGTAAACACCAAACTAAAATCAAATATGTTGGAAATACATATCTTCAAACAATCATTAGTACACTCTCCCATAGAGATACCTACATTTAATATGCTAAGTCTCTAATTAAATAGTATATGCTACTGGCTACAGATTAAGCACACTACCAAAATTTCAATTAAGCGGTAAAACGGCGGACTTCAGATGACATGGTTAGGAAAGTAGATATAATGTAAAGAAAGATAGAGGTCGACCTAAAAAGGCTTGGTTAGAAAATATTAGAAATGAAATTTCTTTATTAAATTTAAATGAGAATTTGTTTCTTAATAGGACACAATGGAAAAAAAAGGATTCATGTAGCTGACCCCATGTAGTGGGATTAAAGCTTGTTGTTGTTGTTGTTGTGATAAAGCAAGATACAAACCCATGATACAATGCATGCAACTTTTCCAAACCAAATGTTACTATCAATAACACTGGTGTAAAATGTCTATAATCGTTAAAAAAGGATGACAATATACTTAAAGTGTTCATACAATGGTTAAGCAATAGTTTATTACTTGTTGAAAAGTATAACCATGGATTTACTAAGTATCTGATGAAAATGGATATGTTAGTTTCAACTTCTGCTGCTACACTCTCACGATCTTCTCCTGCAACATTCTCACTATTTTATGATGAAAAGAAAAAAGCAAGAATCGTTGCTGTAGCACTAGGAGGAAAAAAGTAAATATTTAACTAAGGCTTCTAATACTATTAAATGAAATATTAGCTTAACAACAAATAAGCATCAAGGAAAAAATAACTTTAAAACACGATTACTAATATAGGAATCCAAATATTAACAGCAAGATCACGATAAGTCACATCAGAAATGAGAAGATGCTGTTTATAAGAGCCCCAGACAACATCTGTATAGTTTACATTATGATGTTCCAGAGTTAATGGACAATTGCTTGATCCTTTTAACTTTGAAACTGACATCTTTAAATTATAAATATAAGCCTATATAAGTTTGTTGATTCTCAATTTGTGATCATTTTGTCATTTATCCAATACTACGCAATGAAAACTATATTGAAAAAAGTATAATTAATTATATAGTGATTGGATAAGCAGATTCAGAAGGCTTGTGGCAAGTTTATATGATTTAACTTAGCTATAGCGATCAATGAATGGAGCTTTTGTGGATCTTACAAATATGTGGAATTTAGTTAAATAATTTTCCAAAGGGTTACAAAGCAGGATATCAATTACAAAAAATTTAAATAAGTTGTTCCATCCCAATCCTTATTAGTGACTTTTACAGAAAGGATTACCAGAAGTCAAGTGCTCATCATAAATCATAATTAATAATAAAGTTGTTTAATAAAGAATATATCTTCATATAAGAAAAAGAATGGACTATAATATATGCAAAATCATATGCGAATGAACCTACAACAATATTTTCCTTGTCAGGATAAATTTGATCCACCAACTAAAGATATAACGCCCTAATAATTTTATTCTTGAATATCTTTTTATTTGATCATTTTAATAACAATTTCATTAATAAATAATTATAGATTAAGTGCATTAGGAATGTGTGAAATTTACCAATTAAAAAGAATTTCAGGCATAGCTTTTGGGGTGAAGTCCTTAAAGCATGCCATATTTTCTGGGACCCTTTCCTTTCGTTGCTAAAAAATAATGACAAAACTTAAAATTCCTAGCGACTTCACACCAACATTTAAACCTCATGATTTGTAACTTGAATGAGAAGTTGCACATATCTAATACACAAATCTATCAAAAGAAAAGTGATGAAGAAACAGTACTTTATTGTGGAATTGTGCCAGCTCAAACAGGCGCTCAACAGCTGGCTCCCCTTCTTTTAACTCATTGAATGCCTTTCCCATACCCTGTATAAGATGAAGTCAAAGTTTGTGTCATGCATAAATTCAACATTAATAAGACCAAGTAGATAAAGTTTTTCACAGAAGTCAAAGTTTTTCACAAATTTTCAAGAGATTTAAGATGTTCAAATGATCAATGCAACAAAATTAGATCTTGTTTGTGCGATCTATGGCCGATAGCTTCTAAGAGGATTTTGCTCGGGATTTTGTGGAGGAAATGATTTGATATTATTGAGGAGAGTTAAGAGAAGAGATCTACATCAAAAAATAAAAGAAATTTATAAAAACATAAAACCAGTCACTGACCAGAGTGATTAGGTTTGAAGAGATCAACCAATCTCTTCAAAAGAGTGATTAACCACCTAACCTTCATTCTCACTTGGAATGAACAAGAAATTTCTTCAAATAGACATTAATCCTTCTTTCAATTGTATAGGTTCTTAAATCACTTGACATTCAAAATAAAGTGAAAGATAATGAAAATGGGATTTGGTGGGGATGTAGACACGTCCAAGTGTATATATGGGAAGGAGCAGCGGGTTACACATATGTAGCCTCCCATAACAACCAATCCAATGAGCGGCGGCATACCAATCATGTGTAAAATGGTTATTTGATTATTTTAATTATCAAATAATTACTTTCTATGAATTTTACAAATAATTTCCCTCGTATCTTTGAAAAATCAAATTTCAAATTCAAAATTTTGAATTAAAAAATCAAACATTTCTAATTTCAAATTCATTTTTTTTCTCAAAATCACAAATGTCCTAAACTTAATATTACAAACACATAGGCCCTCAAATAACACATATGCTCTAAAACATGCAAGTAAAAGCTAGTCAATTCTGTCAAAAAAACAATCTTCTTGCTCTGAGCTCCAATGGTTGATCCACCTCTTGCATTGACACCTTGTGCCACATCATAAAGACTTTTTATCTTTATTATTAGCAATTTGATGCATGGAACTCAGCTTATCATGGGCTTTATGTTTATAAATTTCAACTTCAATCCATCAAAATAATAAAGAAGTTAGGGGTGAATTATACTTCTTGCTAAGTTTTCCTTTCATTTTTATCCTGTAACAAATGAAAAAACAGCACCACTTGTTGATAATATGATTATCAGGAAGTACCTATATTTAAACTCAAAAGCCTCTAATTTAAACATCAAAAGTTTCTTTAATTTACAAACGAATATAAATCTATAACAGATTCAAACATAAAAGACAGAAATATGAAAAGGTTACCAAAAAAAAAAAAGCTTAGTTGAATGGATAACTTTGACAGATTTTGTTGCTACCTGGATAGGATCGATCAAAAGCGCCAGCGACATTGTAAATGAGAGGAGTCTAGATCCATCCATTGAACCCTTCAAAGCATTCAGCGAAATCGCATGGAGAACTATCAGACCTCCTATATATATGACCTGCACAATCTGAGGTATGACAGCCTTCAGCTTCTTCTTTCCTAGGCGTGCTATCAGATCATCATGGGCAAGCCTACAAAAATGTAGGTTCTCGTTCAGCTCTCCATTGTTTGCTTTCACAACAAGCATCAATGGAAGTACCTGGATTGTTAAACTAAATACCAGCTCATTAGTGATTCAATTAATGCATCAACACAATAAAAGCAGAGAAGGAGAGAAAAGAGCTATGGACATAATAAAAAACAGAACTTAAACAAACCTCATTAACATAGGAAGAAAGCTTGGCGGCAGTTATCTGTGCCCTTCTTGATATGCCCCGAAGCCTTTCACCAAGGTAGCCAATGACAAGCAACAAACATGGAACCCCCTTCCGTCAAAGCATAAATTTGCAATAATATTGAAATCAGTCTATAAAAGGCTTGATCATCAATAAAATGCATCGCAGAACTAGAATGGAATTTCAGACATACAACCTACCAAAGCTGATACAAATGCAAGAGGTGGACTCAACATCACCATCTGAGTAGCCATCACCAAAAACTGCAGGGTATTCGGTACAACAGTCTATTTTCCATTAAAAAAAAATCAAATCATTAGATGTTATGGAAGAACAAAGTCACAAAAGAAAACCATTCAAAACAAGTGACGGGTACAACCTTTCTGCAAAGAACCTCGATCAATCATAAGCATAAATAAAAATAGGGAAATTTACATACATACCACTTTATAACATCCTATTTACATATCTAACACCTAAAACTTTAATATTACATGCATACCACTCTATATTATTTCAATATCAAATATACCACTTATATTTCTTTCCTACCACTCATATATTTCATTTCTACCACTCATATTTGGTATGAAAATGAACTATGGGTGGTATGTATGTAATATTAAAGTTTTAGGTGTTAAATATGTAAATAGAATAGTATTAAGTGGTATGTATGTAAATCTCCCATAAAAATATCGCGCCACATTATTGATCTTAATTGGCATGAAACTACAAACCAGCTTAGACAGAGCAACACTTACATTCAAAAGAGAGTACAACATATCTGCGACATCCGATGCCTCGGATGTGAGCCTGTGAGCAACATCTCCAGCTTCCACTCCCGCGTTTCCCTCGAAGAAACCTAGATCGCTCTCAATGACCCTGCCAAAGACGTAGGCCCTAATCCTGAACGCAGCTCCCAAAGCTGCCTCCCATAGGAAAGCATGCTGAAGGTAAGTCGCGGCTGATCGAGCGAAGGCTAGAGTAGCCAAGGCCAACCCCTCAGCGACCATCCGGTCGGATCCAACCGACGTCAAGATCGACGGTATCTGCCCGGCCTTAGGAACAGCGACGGACAGGCAGCAGACGGAAACGACGCTGCACACCCATCCCTTAAGGATTGGCTCCCATTCGGATTGGAGATAAGGTTTGATCCGATCGAAAGAGGAGGAAGAGGAGAAGCGCGGAGACTGGAACCGTAACGGATCAAGGCAAAACAGCTTGGACGATGAGGATGAGAAAGGAAGAGGGTAGGGGAAGGGAGAGGGTGTAATGGGGGCAAAGAGGGTTTGGGTTTTGGAAGAGGAGAAGGAGGGAGGAGAATGTAGAGGACTCAGAGAACAAGTACGGTAGAAGAGCTGTGCCATGATCGCCGGAGCAGCTAAGCTATCAGCTTCGGGACTGACCGGACGCTGAAGGAGTCGGCTTGGTTTCCGACACCATTTTAGCTGACATAAAATATCAAAATACAGCTATAGGTTTCGGGTGCTTACTGCTTAAAGCATCTCTAAGTGAATATTTTTCATTTCAAAATACTCATATCAAATAATAATTTATCTTCAATTAAATTCTATATTTAACATAAAAAAATATTATATGTATATTCTTTCTCATTTCTATTCTTAACAATGTGAACGATTGAATGACGTTTTGACACAACTCTCCTTGGCCTATTAGTTGAGAGCTAAGGCTTCAAACTAAGAGGTCCAAGGTTCGAGTCTATGTGTATGCGTTGTGTGTGTGAGTTTGACTTAAATGGCCTAAATGTTTTCCTTTAATTTTTTCACAACACATGTAAATGATATAAGGATTATTTATATTTTTAATCAAATATAATAATGTGACAATCATTGAATGTAACACATGTTGTGATTCACATGTATAGTATGCTATGTATTTTAATGTTATTAAATATCAAAGTATCCTATGCTTTTATATTTTATCTTTAAGAGTCTCATCTTTAGGGTTTGATAAGCATTACTTTTATAAGTCCTTTTATTTTTTATTAAAAAATTCAATCACTTTAAATTTTTTTTTTTATAGATATTTCTTTATTTTTAAAATATGAACTTGCATCCAAAGCACCTCACGCACATTATTAGCTAGCCATACACCATCGACCAACCCCCATGCTTGTTATTTGCCAATCCAACACCAAAGCTGACAACCAACCTTCGACTTGTCGATAGTCAACCCTAAACACAAGCCAATAACATATTTGTTTGTTACTTTGACTCACCAACACCTACATCCACAACACTATCTCTCACATCCAAATCATAAAATAATGGGCTTGCGCAATCAATATTCAATATTAATATAAAAACTAATATTTACGAATACATGGTGTAATTTTAGTAGTAATAGATTTAGTGGGGGTTTGTGACTTTGAGCGATCAAAGTCATTAATAAATGTACTTTTTTAGATATCCTTGCTCTATTATTTAGAATGATGGTGACATAGGTGAGGATATTATTATTAGAATTCAAGTTGGATGGTTGAAGCGGAGGGATGCTTCGATTTGTTGTGTGATAGAAAAGTACCACTCAAATTTAAGAGAAAAATTTATAAGATGGTGGTGAGACCTACAATGCTTTATGGCACAGAATGTTGGTCATTAAAAGAGAAGCATAATATTAAGTTAAGTATTGCTGAGATGAGAATGCTCAAGTGGATTAATGAATTTACATTTAAAGACAGAATACATAATGAGCATATTCGTGAAAAAATTGGAGTAGCTCCAATGACATATAAGATTTGAAAGAGTCACCTTAGATGATTTGGTCATGTAAAACAACAACCTTTCGATGACCCTATTAGGAAAGTAAATGTATTAGATTTGACATATGTTAAAAAAAAAAGTAGAGGTAGATCTAAAAAGACTTAGTTAAAAAATATTAAAAATAACATTTCTTTATTAGATTTTAATTAGAATTTGATTCTTAACAAGAGATAATGGAGAAAAAATGATTCATGTAACTGACCCCACATAGTAGGATAAAGACTTGATATTATTATTGTTGTAATATAAAATATAAATAAATAAAATGTAATAGATAAAGTCTTTATCCCATTATGTGAGACCTACAATGCTTTATGGTACAGAATGTTGGTCATTAAAAGAGAAGCATAATATTAAATTAAGTGTTGCTAAGATGAGAATGCTCAGGTGGATGAATGAATTTACTCTTATAGACAGGATGCAAAACGAGCATATTCGTGAAAAAGTTGTAGTAGCTCCAATGACATATAAGATTAGAAAGAGTCACCTTAGATGATATGGTCATGTAAAATGACAACCTTTCGATGACCCTATTAGGAGAGTAAATGTATTAGATGTCATATGTTAAAAAAAAGTAAAGATAGACCTAAAAAGACTTAGTAAAAAAATATTAAAAATGACATTCTTTTATTAGAATTTGATTCTTAAAAGATATAATGGAGAAAAAATGATTCATGTAGCTGACCCCACATAATGGGATAAAGACATGATATTATTATTATTGTAATATAAAATATAAATAAATAAAATAAAATAAAAAATTACCCCAAATAACATCTTATGACTTGAATAAACCTGTCAACATTTGATCTGACCCGAATACTCGATCCGAAACTGACCCAAAATTGTCAGGCTCGGGTCGACCCGGTTAAAGAACGGGACCGGTTAGGGTTTACAATTTCGACCCATTTAGTTTTTCGGGTTGGATTCGGGTCTACCCGAAAACCAGACACTAACCCAAAATGACCCGAACTGTCTTATAAATTAATAAATTATAAGTAAATAGCCACGGGCGTCGAGCAGGCTGATATATTCGTTCTGTCATTCCGTGGCTTGACATGCTTCTGTCTAGGGTTTTTAGTTTCTTTTCTCTCTTTCTCTCTACCTCTCCGATGGCTTGACTGGCTTCTGGCATCTGCAAAAGTTCAAACCGGGCTAGCTAGAGAGTAGAGACAAATCAATATGTTGGTTAAACACCATAACCAACAATATTATCACAAAAATAACCATTAATTATACAAATTATTAAAACCCTAACCGAGATAAGCCCTAACAAAGACATAGAGATCATGGAACTTCAAAAAATCTCAACGCCATAGCAAAGAAATAGAGAATAAATGAAGAACACAAAATCTCAAAACCTCCATCTTCTAAAATATAAAAAAATGGTAATAGAAACGAGATACAAACAGTGAAACAGATCAGGGAACGTGTGAATTGAAAGTCTGAAAGACTGAAACGTAAGCACAGACTCCGTTGTGCTGCTGACCACGGACTCGACGAGAGCTCCAACACTAGAGAGGCGGAGAGAAAGAGAGAAAAGAAAGTAGAAACCCTAGATAGAAGCTAGTCAAGACATAGAATGACAGAACGAATATATCAGCCCACTTGATGCCCGCGGCTATTTACTTATAATTTATTAATTTATAAAATAGCGCGGGTCATTTCGGGTTAGTGTCAGGTTTTTGGGTTGACCCAGACCCGACCCGAAAAAATAAACTGGTCGAAATTCCAAACCCTAACCCGACCCGTTCTTTAACCAGGTTGACCTAAACCCGACAATTTCGGGTCAGTTTTGGATCGGGTTTTCGGGTCGGATCAAATGTTGACATGTCTAAGAAATTTATAAGCTGGGAGTCGTCGTATAAGCGATGAAGCGATGATGATTAACCTTCTAAGATGAAAGTGAGCACTGGCCATTGGATGGGAGTCGTATAAGTGTAAGTTCTTATGTATTATTACAATTTACAACCGTGTGACATTTATATTAAATTAGAATAACATATACTATCTTACATTCTTATTCAAAGAACGTATATTAAGTTAATATAAATTATCACATTAGATGGTAATTTGTCAATATTGATTAAACTTACATCTTACATCGCAATGACCTCATTATGAGATTAAATGATTAATGATTTTAAAGGTTTAATTTGAGCAGAGCAATATATTATTATTACATATTTGAGTTTGCAAACTATATAATTGTTTTTATTGCAGGTCATTGCAAATTTGAAGCCGTTATTTCGAGGAGCATTTCAATATATAAATGTATAATTGTATAAATAATTATTCTAAATTGAAATTAAGGTTGTAAATTTATAACTTTGTAAATTAGTATTTCTCTCGAATTGAATTGAGATTGTAAATTTGTAACTCAAAAAATGAGCAAAGGATGAATTTATTACTTATTAATATCTGCCTATCTGATAAGAAATTTGATAGATTTGTGATTTGCTTATACTTTGCTGTTTAGTTGTTTGAAAGGATGAATTTTTGCATTTTTGCACTTTTGGTCATTTTTTCCCTTAAATTATAATTAAAATTCTTGTACATACGATTAACTGGGTCGGGTCAGATTGACCCAAACCCGAGACGGGTTGGTAACAAGTTTCGAAAACCGACCCTTTTATAAAACCAAGACAGGGTGACCCGAACCCAAAAAATATCGGGTCAATCACGGGCCGAACCCAAACCCGACCCGTCACCCGAAATTGACTTATCTAGACTTGAACCCCTCCATAAATTTGTCCAATACTCATGAAATAACAAAATCATGCCTGTAATAAAGTTAGCAACTGTCACTCCTACCATACACACTTCATCATGGAGTTCCTCCATCAGTAGGAAGGATCAAAACCTTTTTTGTAATAAAAACATGGATTAATAAAAAAAACTCAGCAACACAAATTAGATAATTATTATTAAAAAAGAACTAATCCTTAACCAAATTTAAAAGATGTGCTAAATTTTCATTTGGAACTACTTTTCTACTGTTTCTTAAATCACGTTTTTAGTATAAAAATTTTAATTTTTATAAAAAAAAAAATTGATTAAAAAAACAATAAAAAAGCCGTCCCAAACAAAAACTTAAGTTTTCAATAACATAACTCTTCCATTATTCATGCAAACTAATTAACTTGAAACATAGAGCATCATAAAAAGGTTATAAGAGCAAATAAGTCTAGCAAAATAGTTCTGAATACCTTTATTGCTCATCTTAACAGTCCATAGCTGCTGATGAAGTCAGTGCCTGCATTTTCTTCTTTCTTAATTTCACTATGTATCTTTTCTAAAAAAAAAAAAAGTTATACTTCGTGTACATAAATGCTGCAATCAGCTAATAAATCAATAGGAATGATTTCTGTACAGATACAGTAAATCAACGAGGTTTTCATTACTCTTTATGGGTCGTTATCCAAAACTCCCACAAGGCACTTCTCAAGCAGGAATTCAGCATTAACCCAGGCGTGGTATTTATCTTCAATGTTTTAAGGACAATTAACAGACACTGCAAGATTGTGGCAAATACAAGTATTTAACTAATACATGGTAGATTAATGAGGCAAATATAAACTATAAGTTTGCATTAGTAATAGGAATAACAGAAACTATTCTACTGTTATTTTAGTAGTAATAGGCCTAGTGAGGAGATTGTGCCTTTGGGCGATCAAGTCATTAATAAGAGTACACATTTTATATATATTAAATCTATTGTTCAGAGTGTGATGAAATAGATGGAGATATTATCAGCAGAATTCAAGTTGGATGGTTGAAGTGGAGGAATGCATCGGGCTTGTTGTGCGATAGAAAAGTCTCCCTCAAACTTAAGGGAAAATTCTATAAGATGGTGGTGAGACCTGCAATACTTTATGGTGCCGAATGTTGGTCATTAAAAGAGAAGCATAATACTAAGTTAAGTGTTGCAGAGATGAGGATGCTTAGGTGGATGAGTGGCTTTATCCTTAGAGATAGGATACAAAATGAGCATATACATGAAAAGGTTAGAGTAGCTCCAGTGGAAGATAAGATTAGAGAGAGTTGCCTTAGATAATTTGGTCACATTAAACGGAGGCCTTCCAATGAACTGGTTAGGAAAGTTGAGGTATTAGATTTGACTTATGTTAAAAAAGGTAGAGGTAGACTTAAAAAGACTTGGTTAGAAAATATTAGAAATTATATTTTTTTATTAGATTTAAATGAGAATTTTACTTTTAACATGACACAATGGCGAAAAATGATTCATGTAGTCGATCCCACGTAGTGGGACAAAGCTTTATTGTTTTTGTTGAAAGTCGCCTTATATATTACTAGAATGAGAATTTTGAGTAAAAGAAAGGATACTGAATAACGAGGTGCAGTCTTTGCCAGTGGCCTTCATCAGCATATCAACGCCTACGAACAGAGCAAGCGGAAAGTCAAACAAACGGTTAAAAATAAACAGTTAAGAAAAAGAAGCCAACACAAGAATGAGGTGTATAAACCAACCATGCATTGTTGAAATAGAACTAATAGCCATAAGAGGAATTTACATCATATTTGTTCATACTGATATCACGGGGTTGAGGTCTACGTAAGCTCCCATGTCACTCGTGTAGAGATCACATATTCGGGTTCAGCATATAAAACCTTTAAACTAAGGCTTTGTTTGGGACGGCTTTCTCACTACTATTAAAAGTAGGTTTTTAGTAAAAAATTAAATTTTTTGTACTGAAAAGTTACTTTAAGAAGCAGTAAGAAAGTCGTTCCAAACGAAACCTAAATTTCACTAGCTACCGACCTTCATGAAACTCAGTCTACTATGAGCAAAAACAACTATTTAATATAACAATTATTCTACTATGAGTAACATTACTCTTAAGTTTTAATTCAAATTTAATAATACTGAGTCCAAATTTACAACTAATTGCTTCATTCAACTTTTAATCATTTAAACTAAAATCAGGGCTTTCACAATATAACTAATTGTTTAATTCCATTTTTTTTTATTTTTTTCAACCCTCGCAATGCAAAGTTAAAATGCTTCTATTTAGTAGTCATATTTGTCATTCTCATGGCTCATAACTAGGATTATTGATAGAGGGGAAAAGAACAGAAAATCTATGTACATAACTTGGAGTGATCCGCACACAACTTAGATCTAAAGAGCTATCAATTGACCAAAAATAATTTCATTAATTCAACGATCAATCAATAATCAATATGCTAATCATGGAACCTTTTTTATAGAAATAGGGATAAAATGAAAACGCCAAAATTTTGAAGGAAAATATACTTATATCCAAACTCAACAAACTTCAAATTCAAATCTATTATTATCAAGAAGAAGATAAATCTAACAAAACAATTCAAATTATGAAATATAAAAGGAATCTCACTATAAATATAAATGGGACTAAAAAGGCTTGAAAATGGGCAAGCTTTAGATCTATTGTGGTCCAGTTTGAACCCTTATAACTGGCCTATAACCACTTGAAAATAGATTGATTTAACTTGATTGAAGGCATATACTACATCAAACCCGCTAGGTGTAAAGAACACTCCAAAGAATTAAGGTCCATGCAATCATCCAAGAGTTCAAGGGATTGCTTTTGTTTTCTTCTTGCTCATCTAGGTAAGATTTGAAGAACCTGTCTTTTTATTTGACTAGAATCACATGCTAAGCACTTTTCATAAATATAACTTCATATGAAATAAAACTTTCAACATCCCACCAAGCAGAATTTGAATGATGGGATCCATGAAAGCAACTATTGTAGTAGAAATTCCTTATACAAAAATCATCTTCATTATACTCTCGAGCATGTCTTAAAATTTATAGCATCAAAATATTTTTATTATGAAATTCAATCGATTTTCTAACTTCATCATACAAAATCATGTATATGTTGTGCAAATGATATATAAATAATATTGGAGTAAATAAAAAAAATAGATGAAAGCATGGATAAATTTAAAGCCTGACTTGCTGCAAAATGGTGCTTCCAATCTCATGATATTGAGCATCAATAAACTTTCTCTCTAATTCCAAATTTAACATAATTCAAGTTTTGTTCTCCTCCGCGATAAGCTTGGATTGGCCCTCTACATCAGCTTGGCATTAAAAAAGCTTTTTTAATGAGGATCTTGAGGAGGAAGCATGCATGAAGATCCCATATGGATTAGAAGATTAGAAAAACACTGATATGGCATGTAATTCATGAAAGCTCTCAAATAATGCCCTTAAACAATGCCATCATACTTCGTTTGGCAATTCTTAAAATATGTTGAAAAGTGTTGTACACTCAGTGTCAATATGATCATACCCTCTTTATCAAATGCTCATCTAAAAACCCAAAAGTAAATTTTATTGTATATATAGATATTATATTAATAGGTGACTTAGGAAAAACTAACCAAATTAAAATAATTTTTTTACAAGAGAATTTGAGATAAAAGACATGAAAAATCTAAAAGACATTCTTCGTAAGAAAATGACATAATAAAAATAAGATCTTATTTCCTCTTCAATAAATAAAAATGCTTGGACGTAAGACCACAAAAACTCTTAATGGACTAAACAAAGAAAATGGAGATCACCACTAAAAGCACGTTCATTGATATAGGCATCAATCATTTTGTAGACAAACTCATCTAGCTTTTCCTCACCCATCCGTATATTAGGTTCATTGTTAGTGTTGTAAGCCAATACATAAACTAGGTTCATTGTTAGTGTTGTAAGCCAATACATAAACAACCCGACTAAAAACCGCATGGAAGTTACTAATTGCATTCAAGGTACTTCAAGATGACATTAGGAAAAGACCAAAATAGTCATTCAACAAAAAAGATCAAAATTTTCACAAATGTTGATTTGGCTGGAGTTACACCAGACAGAAAATCCTATTGTATTTATATATGAAAGAGAAGTAAAAAAATAATTTGTGGTTTCAAGCAATATTAAAGCTGAATATAAGACAATGACAATTGATATTTGCAAAGGAACATAGCTAAAAAGATTATTTAAAGAAAAACTCTATTAAGTGAATTTTTTTTTTTGAAGTTGTATTGTGGCAACTAAGCTACCATAAATATTGCAAAAAAATTTTGTTCGCCTTGATAAGGCTAAACATATTGTGATAGTCTTGTATTTCATCTCATAAAAATTTGAAAATAGGCTAATCCAAACTTGAAAATTGATAGGAAATACTTGAGTTCGCAAGTAATCCTATTGGAAATACTTGAGTTCGCAAGAACCCTAGCAATAATCGGTGAAAAATAAGCAAGAATAATATGAGAACTTCAAGAAAATATGCTCCAAACAGCAGATTTTTATTAGGAAAATCAAAGCAAATCAAACACAAAGTGTTAGACCGGTCCGGGAGGGACGGACTTACGGGCGAAACAACGGAGCTGTTCTGCCTCCTGAGAATGTCTCGCGAGCCACAAGCTTTGTGGGCCAAATAGGAAATATTTTTTGGGGGAATTAAGAGGAAAATTTGAATGTAGGGACTGTTTAGGGATTTCCTTTTGATTTGTATGCATTAAATAGTTTGTTTTCCTAGGGTTAGGGCATCTTGAATTTGGCTGAAATTTGAGATATCTTAGATTTAGGTTTTCTTTTGGGCTCTAGCGGCGTCTAGAGATTTGGGAAAGATCGATCCTCCTCTTGAATAGAGGATCAATTATATCTTGCTATTTTCTGTTTCCCTTTCATCAAATAATAGTTTTTCGTGGTTTTGTGCATATTTTTGTGTAGCTCGCTGTTTTCCGAAGATTGATAGGAAATACTTGAGATCTACAAGTGTTTCCTATCAAATTGGTACAGAGCACGTCGATCGAAGGGGAACCAATGACCGGAAGGAAAGTTGAAGTTTTGGCGGGAGAACTTGGGCAACTCAAAGCAAATTTTGAGGAAAAGATTGCTGATTTTCAAAGTCAGAATACATCTGTCAATGAAAAGATGAAGGAAAAGTTCTCCGTGGTGGAAGACAAGTTGAAGAAATTGCTTGAAGCCAAAACCAAACTGGTGACATCAGAAACAAAAGAAACTATCGGCGGCCATGGAAGAGATGGGAACCCTACCACATCCAGGGGAAGGGAAAAGCCAGAAGTGGAGATCCTAGAGGGAGAAGACGGAATGCATCCTCTAGAACTACTTTCTAGGGAAGAGATGAGCATTGGCTATGCAAGAAGGGGTGCTTAATTTGTAAGGAGAGGGGATAATTTCGATCGCCGGGTGTTGATTTTGAAAGAATAAGAGAGGATTTTGATGAATGGTTTGGGTATGATCGACGGAGGGAAGATCGTGACAATTGGGGAGCACCTCCGCTTCGAGGAATAGGAGGTTATGGAGGATTTAGGGAAAATGGGTGTGACTCGAGGGTGAAGAAATTGAATATGCAAATCTTTGAGGAGGATGCGCACGGGTGAATCTACAAGGTAGAAAGATATTTCGTCGTCAATGGTCTGACAGAGGAGGAGAGACTGACGACGGCGGGCCTATGTTTATAAGAAAAGGCTTTGTCTTGGTATCAGTGGAGGGACATGCGACGACCCATACGAAGTTAGAGAGAGTTCAAGGATTGTTTGGTAGAACATTTCCGAGCTGGCAGAGGAGGAGACTTCTATGAGCAGTTCTTTGCTTTGACACAGGAGGGTTCAGAGACAGAGTATCAGGAGAGATTCGAGTACCTTGCTAGCCGATTGAACTGCCTTTCTGAGACAGTGCTAGAGGGAAACTTCATAAAGGGATTGACACCAGAGATCCGAGCAGCAGTTAGAGTAATGAGGCATCGTGACTTGGGAGAGGCTATGTAGCTAGCTCAATTGGTAGAAGATCAGAGGCACATGGAGGGAGAGACGGGAGGCGGCAGCTCAAGAGGCTCGTACAGGATGACCACGACCTTATTGAAATCTAAGGAGCCAACATCGGATACTCTTCGGGGGACTTCGAAGGAAAAGATTATACGTAGGAGGAAGACCTGGGGACAACTTCAAGAAGCTCACAGAGACAAAATTACAGGAGAAGAGGGCGAAGGGGCTCTGTTTTAGATGTGACGAGAGGTATACGACGGGGCACAGGTGTAAGGACCGAACTCTTTAGGTTCTTACCGTTTGTGATGAAGAAGGAATGGAGGGTGTCGTCTTTCCACCTTGCGGACAAAGTGGATCTTTGGGAGGGGAGAATTGTTAGACCCGTCCATTGGACCGGTCAAGCTGGTCCCACTGGACCGGTCAAGCCGGGACCGGCTTACGGGTGAAACAACAAAGCTGTTCCACCTCCTGCGAATGCCACGCGAGCCGCAAGCTTTGCGTGAGCCAAAAGGAAAGTTTTTTGGGGGAATTAAGAGGGAAATTTGAATGTAGGGGTTGTTTAGGGATTTCCTTTTGATTTGTATGCATTAAATAATTTGTTTTCTTAGGGTTAGTGCATCTTGAATTTGGCTGAAATTTGAGATCTCTTAGATTTAGGTTTTCTTTTGGGCTTTAGCGGCGTCTAGATGGGAGAGATCGATCCTCCTCTTGAATAGAGGATCAATTGTATCTTGCTATTTTCTGTTTCCCTTTCATCAAATAATACAAATTATCTATTGTTTTTCGTGGTTTTGTGTGGATTTTTGTATAGAAGCTCGTTGTTTTCCGAAGATTGATAGGAAATACTTGAGATCTATAAGTGTTTCCTATCACAAAGCAAAGATACAATTAATCCTCAATTCAAGAGGAGGATCGTCTCTCTCAAAATCTCTAGACAAGAGCCTAGAGCCCAAAACACTAAAGAACTGCAAGAGAACAAACAATACAAGCATGCCCAGACCCCTCATGCCGTTTAAATAGCCATCTCCACCTCCTTAAAAACTTCATAATATAAGATATTATTTATGTAATACAAAAGATATCAAATCTTTTAATTAATTAAATCAACTTTCCTTATATAAAAGATATCAAATCTTTTTAATTAATTAAATCCACTTCCCTATTGGCTTGCCGCCTCCCTCTCTCACTCTCCTCTTTTTGCCGCCAAAGCGGGCCCCACCCCATGGTGAGGCAGTTTGGGCCGCCTTTGGTACCGTCGGCCCCATCTTGGCGGTTCAATATGAACCGCCCTATCAAAAATATACTAATCCAAACTAAATTATGCTCTTAAAAACTCTCAAAATACATATTCTCACAAGGTTTTATCCAGAATGAGTTTTGATTATCTAATCAACAAGCTCGGTATGATCAACATACGCAACCCAACTTGAAGAGCTTTGAAATAATCATGAATTTGTAGCCAGCACCTTTCTATCTACATAATCTAACAATCCAAATATAGTAACTTCCTATATACAAAAATCCAGCAATCCGCAACTTTCTATCAATATCAATCTAACAATACGTGAATATCTTTATATTTGTGCTGAATAATTAATTTTAGATTATAGAATTAGACTTATTTCTTCATTTATTTATTTCTTAAAATGTTATTTTATTTCTCCACTAATATACGTACAATTTCTTATCACTTTTTAACACAAAATAGGAGAATAAAATTCAATCATAAAACCTCTCATTTTATACTTATTTTCTTTTCTCATTCTAATTTTCAAGAAAGAGCTACTAAATTTCTAGTAGTGAACTAATTCTCTTTGGTCTCGAGACCACTAGGATACATCCAACTAGTAGCTTATCCATTCAGTGTTATATTGTTTTATGATGTTGAATCCTTCTCCTTGAAATATATGATAAACACCATGCACTCATCTCAACATCATTTTGCTTTCAATTGTTTATCCCAATAAATTATCATTGGCTTAATGAATCATCATCTATAAAACATTCCTAAAAGCATTACTTAAAAACAGTTGGCATTTATTTGCTTATCACATTTTTACATTAACATAATCATCTGTCACCTTTAATCGCTATTATGCACGAGCATAGAGCACATTAATGTGGAAATGGTTAACTTCATAGTGCATTTACAACATGTAGCTAATTTTTTGACACATTCTAAATATTAAAGTTAATTCCACTAATATGTTAGAATGCTAGACAGAGAGAGAGAGAGAGAGAAAGAGAACATTCCATCCATTAAACTTGTGGATATTGGATCATTAGAAATCCATCTTTAATTACATTTCAATCACAAAATAGGTAGATTTGCAGTTTAGAGAGCTGAAGACCTAGCCTATTAAGATGAAGTGCAATATTATTGCTTAACCAATTGTGGTGATACAAGGGGCAATAAAAGTTAGAAAAGGGCATTGCCGAACCATTTGTTTCACAAGAAGGCAACCCAAATAAGGCAAAATACACATTTCAGCATACTGAAGGACAGGGGCGGAGCCAGAAAAAAATTTTAATGGAGGCACAAATTTGTACTAGTCATTAAATTATTTTTAAAATATTATTTTTAATGTAATTATAAATCATGAGATATTTTTTTAATTAAAAATTAAAAAATACAATCAAATATATATTTGATCCCTTAAAAAGAAATATATAGATCACTCTCTCTCTTATCATTCATTAAGAAATTAAGAATGTTAACGAATTGAGTTCAAATAAATTAATTTTATATTTAGGAATATTTTATTTGAATTAATTGAATTAAGTCTTAATTTTAAATTATATTTAGATTAACTATATTTAAATTATAAGATAATATTCTCCCTATTTCTAAATTAATTTGACGTAATGATTCACATTAGTTAAAGAAAATCATAAATAATAAAAAAAATTTAAAGTTAACCCTATTAAATTATTTAAGTTACTAAGATTTATTAAAAAATTTTATTTGTTAATTAATTTATTGCCTTATTATTTAAAAAACATTTGGCAACTTTAACTCTAATTTCAAAAAGAGAGAGAGAGAGAGAGAGATATATAATGAGGGTGGTAATCTCTCTCTCTCTCTCTATATATATATATATATATATATATACTCCAGCCTCATTCCAATTGCCCGCCCGCCCTCTCTCTCTATATTTGGCATTTTTTAACTCCCGCCTTTTTCTCTCTCCTCCGCGGCATTTAAAAAAAAAACTGTAGGCTCTTTAGTCCCACACCGCCTGGAATTAAATAATTATGCTAGATAAAAGCAAATTTATGTTTTACTTTACTGAAAGCAGGAACGGGACAGCTGAAGCAGAAGTTGTTCTGGTTGTATACTAGAAGTCGTCATTTTGTCAGTGGGGGCCCGTGCCCCCAGGGCCCCCACTGTAGATCCGCCGCTGCTGAAGGATATATTTGCAGTTTACCCTTCCTAAATTTCAATAAGCACTCTTAATGGAAGGTCCAATCAGACCGCAGCATTAGCAAAAGTAGTTCCATTTCAAATAAATTACATTCAAAAGAATAAGAATATCTAAATTTAGTAAACATGGCCCGTTGTAATCGTTTAGGTCAGTAGATAATACAAACCAAGAAATATTCAAAAGACATGAAAGGATATCCCAAGACCTAGCAAGGAATATAATACATCGACTGGGATGCATGCTATTTTAACCATCTAAATATTTGGAGCAACCCTGTTCGGAACTACAAATGGGCCCTTATTAACTCTTGAAACACTCATTCAGGCCTCATCATTTACTATAATTCAGAGGAACTACATATTATCAGTTTCTTGTAGTTTCAATCTGCTTCTCCTTGATGTCATAAATGCATGAAATACATATATAAGACCGAGTGACTCTATGTTCTGAGCAGTTATCACGTTGCCTTAAACATAACCGTAGTAACATTGAAAAAGAAAGTTCAGGAAATCATAGTACAGTTCTAATAAAGAGAAGAATATGGACTAACCTCCAGGGTGAAATTTCATGTATGGAGAGAGATTATATACACGACCCTTCAAAACCGTCCACAAAGAACCTTCTGTTTTATGCTTCTTAACCTCATCCATAGTAATGAGCCTTCTATTTGTCTGGCCTTTAAGCCCTGGTTTGCGAAAGTATCATGAGAGTATAAACAAGACACTGATTAGATATCACAGCATCTCATGTAGACTGAAGTCTCTAGATATGAAGGTCGATCAAAAGGAGTAAAACACAAACGGGTTTTAAGGAAACTAGGAGTTGAAATAAAAAAAGATCCGTTAATAGGTTACAATACAAACATTAACCAAAGAAAAAACTAGGCAACTTGAACTAGATGATCAAAAGAGAGAAACTTGCAAAAAATCATTGTCCCGACAAGAATTAAGACTGCATGTAGGATGAAGTAACTACTTGATGACTCGCTTATCTTGTTAACATAATTCAATTAATGGAATTTTACATAACATTCAAAATTTTAACTAAGATTGCAAATTATTATAACTTATATAAATCAACTGTTTGGAAAAGATAGTTAGTTTTGTGCTGTGCTGTATTTTACTATAATGTGCTACTATATGCTGTGCTATCAAATAAAGTTGATAACTATTTGATAACACAGTTGCCTGAATTATTATGATAAAGAACTTGTATGGCAAAAACAAATGTAAAGTAGTGTGAATTGGTTAAATGACTAAAATAAACATGATTAAATAACAATAAAAAATATCAATTATATTTATCTTTAAAGTAATAAAATATAAAATTTATGTATCCATGAATAAAATTAAAATTAAAGTACTAGTAAAATTATAGAATAATTTATATAAGATTAATAAGCTTTTTTTTTTTAAGGAAGAAAGAAACTTTATAACATCAAAAGCACCTAAATAACATCACGATTGAAAAAAGAAAAAAAAACATAATAGTTAGATTTTTGAGGTAATATTAAAATAGATTAAGGGTACTTCTATTTTAAAAAAATTAAGCATTGTTTTGACCAAATATGATTTAAATGAGGATTTGACTCTTAATAGAATACAATGGAGAAAAATGATTCATATAGCTGACCCCATGTAGTGAGATAAATGCTTGATGTTGTTGTTGTATTGTTTTGAACAAATGTGTGTTCATGGAGAAAAATGCAATAAAAAATCACTAAGAATGAAATTACACCCTATAATATAAAATGAGTTATAAACCTCAATCACAAATCACACGAACCTTTGAACAAACGAGTTGCAAGAACTTTCATCTTCTCATCACATTCTCTATCTCAGACAATCTTACATATTGTGTGATCGACCATCAGTAAAGCTTCAAAGTAATGCTCCAACTTTCCAACCATCATCGATACAACATTAGCGTTACTATATTTTTGCTATTTAGATTTCAATGCATTCATCATCGATAGTTGTAGGTTATAATACAAACGAGTCACAAACTTATTATACGGGTTTCAAATCTTGCACAAATTATGAACCAGTGAACTAAATATAAAATAAATCTATGATACAATCGATTGTTATAACTTAATTTTGAGAGGAATCAATTCAAACCAAGCATTATTAGCACTAAGCTCAATTATAAATAATTTACTATTAAATTTGTTTCTTATTAAATATTTCTCTCTCATCCAAAGTAATGCATGGGACAAAATACTAGTATTTTTTTAAAACTATTGAAAGAAACAGTGAGCAATAAACAAATAGACTGAAAAGTCCAACTTGAACTTGCATGACCAACAATATGCTATTTTGGATTTGCAGTTAAAAACAGTAATTTCCAATTTTCCTATCCTAACTTTTGGGGTAGGCTTTATGAATTTTCCAGCTGCATTCATTACAATTGATACTACATGAAAGGCTGACTCGAGTTAATGCAAGTTTTTTCTTTTTCTTTTTTTTTTGGAAAAACGTCTAAGCACATTATTTTTGCTAAACCTCAATTTTCATTCCAGTTGATTTCGTCTACTCACCTTAATGTCATACCACCTGCTGATGTAAACAAGGTGGCAAGAGACTAGATCCAAATATCAGGTATGAGAGAAAAAATACCTGAGAGAGCAAAAGGAGAGAATAAAAGAGGATGATTCAACCTTAATTCATTTATCAATTTCTAATTAAATCTAAATATGAAATCAAAACAAGTCTAAATCCTAAATAATTCACAAACTAAATATTATCCAAAAAGATAATATATTTTAATTTCAAACTTACAAAAACTAAAAATGCTAATAAATTGAAATAAACTTTAACCTAATGTCTTATGCTGCATGAATTCCCTTAGCCTAAAAATCTCCTCCTAAAGAGTTTTGGTATTAGAAGAGAGAAAAAATAAATAATAAATAAATAAAATAAAAAATTGGTATTAGAAGAGAGAGACTCAAAAGAGGAGAGAGTATAAGAGGAAGATTTAATTTTTTAATTCCTTATATATAGAAGGTTTATAAGGTAAGATCAAATCAATAATCCTATTTAATGTTGAAATTTTCAAAATTCAAACCATCAGAAAGGATAATTAATCTATTTTCAATAGAATAAAGCCAAAATACTAATTTAAATGTTAAAAGTTGAAATACAAATTAAACCTGATTCGTTGTTCAGCATCAAATCCCATGGAACCAAAAAAAAACCCTTCTATCGAATTGCAAAAAAGATCTTTCTCACAAGCATGGCGAACAAGATGAAGACATGGTGGAATGGGTTCATTTATATCCTTCAGAGCATCTTATGAGACAATGGACACAAACAAATTTCAAATAAGATTTCATCATATGTACAAACTGTTGTGAACTGAATATAAAAGGGGTGCATAATATGAGTTCTTGGAAGTGCATCTGTGTGAAAGTAGAAGAAAAAACTCAATATCAACAACTGGTACTAAAGAATGTTTCTAAACTAGCAATTGCAGATCATCTATCAATGTTATCAGAACTATCTCAAAAGCATAAATGCCTCTGGAACTCGGGCTTAATCCTAACTCCTAAGTGCATCATCATTCCTCGTAGAAAACTCTGATTCATGCTTATAGATATAATCTCAATCACTTGACCTCAATAATAATATATTTATAAAACCCAAATCTTCAAAATAATCATCTTCATAAATTATCTCAGATTAAGAATTAAAATTTTGAGCTAGTGGAGGTGACACAAATAGCTAAAATATAGAATTGATATTGGAGTTTAAATCATTGAAGTTCTAGAAATTAGTTTATGAAATTATTTTAAGGTGGACTAAATGAGACAATCGTGTGCATAATCACATAAGATCCATAGATATGATCAAATACATCCTCATTTTATGATCTAGAAACTGTCAAAAATATTTTGTTCAATAATATCTAGCTAGATCAAAATCTTATCCAAAATAATCTTCTACAATACTAGGGATATGATGATGATTTTGAAGAAAAAAATTCATAAAATAATAACATTGATTCCGGTTGGCTCAAGAAAAATAATGTGTCAGCATGAATCCCACTTTGCAGACATGATTCCATCTTCCTTGGGTCAGATTGTAGTTAATCATATTTCTCCTGAGAGTAGTGTCAGAGTTTAATTAGATCTGGGTCCTTATTTCCCAAGAGCAAAAACACTCGTAGTTAATTATCCCTCTTAACGCGTAAGAGAAAACTCTCAATTAAGGATGAATAATTTTAGGTATTTTAGTCTCAATTGTGGGGGAAAATAGAGGTAAACCCGATCAATATCCCATGGGTCTGATGTCCTAGGTACATCGTGTGTTTTAGTCTACAAACACTAACAATCATTGACTGTAGTGTCTAGGGGAATATAATTAGCAGTCGTGGGTTGCCTCCTCTCAAGGATCTTGAGTAGATCAAGGTTGTTAGATGTAGATTTTAGATTTGTGGTGGTTTTGGGGTTTACATCTATTAGAATACTCAATAGTTGGTTTGGTTTGGGGATTTATAACTTCGTTTTAAAGTTACCCAGAAGTTTAAATTGAAGCGAGTCTTACGGCTTCTTCTATAAATAACCTGGGTGTTTGAATTTGGGTTGAGGCTTACGCTTCATTAAAAGTAGCCCAAAAAGCATGTCTTATGGCTTCTATTAGAAGTAACTCACTGGTGGGTCTTACAACCTATTCCTATATGATAAACTACCTGTTAATTTGAATTTGATTGTTTGGATTTTAAGGTTTTTGCAATTTATATAGCAATATTTCTAAAATGTGAGTCTTATGACTTCACTTATAAATTGTCCGATAACAGATCTTACAACATAACACTATAGGCTAAGATGCCCAATTATTTTGGTTGACAGGTCTTACAACTCTCTTAGAAGTTTCCTGTGGGCTTAATTTGGAGTGGGACTTACGACTCTATTTAAGAGTTACCCGTTAGCGGGTCTTACAACTTAGCTCTGCAACAAGGCTGCCCAATTGTTTTGGTTGACAGGTCTTACGACTCCCTTAGAAGTTGCCTGCATGTTTAATTTTTGGAGTGGGACTTATGGATCTATTTAGGAGTAGGTCTTACAACTTAGCTCTACAGCAAGACTGCCCAAGGATTTAATTATTTGATTAGGTCTTCTAGCTTCCCTTTAGAAGTTGCCAAAAAGTAGGTCTTATAGTCTAATCTTTAGATTAAGATGCATGTTAGTTTGAATTTGGTTATAGATTGGACAACAGTTGTTTGCTAGCTTGACACTAGACTGTAATTTTCAGTTGTTTACTAGCTCGAAACTTACTAGCCAACTGTTATTGTTGTGCGACACTAGTGCTTTTTGCTATATTAGTTTTTTTCAAGTATTAGTAGTCAGTACTTTACCCTGCTCTTTTTCTTTCAGTATTTTAAACTGTAATAATAGTTACTTTACCAGTAGTCTAATTTACTTTTGGTTTGTAGCTTAGTGTAACACTTGTTTTTTTTCTTGCTTTAGCAATTTAATTTATATGCTAATGAATTTTATTTGCAGGAGTTCATGTAGTTTCAGAGTTTAGAGGGTTTGCAGTGTTTAAAGAGTAGTGTCTGAGAGTTTGTGAGTTGGAGAGCTTTGTACAGGTGTCAGTGTTTAGTTGTGCATATTAATTAGTGGAAATATTACTACTCTTTCTTTTTTTATATTATTATTTAAACAAAAAAACCCTCACCTACCAAAGTGGCTCTCTCCACATTTTTTTAAATCATGCTCTAATTTAATGAATTAATCTATTTTTATTAATTTAAAATTTAATTGACTCATTAAATAATCAATCAATTAATAAAAAATATTTTAAAATATATTAATTAATTATTAAATTAGATTACATATTTAATTTGAAAATAAATAATTAATTATGTTTAATTAATTAAAAGGAATTTCAATAGTTTTAAATTAATTGATTAAATTAATTTTGATTTTTTAATTTAACCAATTAATTAGATAAAATGTCAATAACATGATTGATTTCTTAGGAAGGATTATACAGTTAAAGTTTTTTGGTGTTTAACTTAAAAAATTGACTAAAAAATGTAATCCAATTTTTCACAAATAATGTGTTTCTATGGGCATCCTCAAATACGATCATTACCACACAAGATTTGAACAATTGCAACAAATAATTTATGTTAAATATAGGTCTATTCCAATCATCTCAATAATGGATTTAAATCTTAAATTTGGAGCCAAATCAATTTTCTCATACCAACCTAGTACCTCATATTATATGACAAGGCAACATGTACTTGAATGAAAAAAAAAGACAACATGTACTTGAATGAAAAAAAAAAAGACAAGTACATTCAATAGAAAGATGAAGTTCCCTACAGATGGATATTGCATGATGGCAAGGAAAGGGAGCAACAGAAGATGTTGAACTCGGACTGGGTTAGCTTAGGTGTCATTTGCATGCAGTAACAGGTAGGGGAGCTAAACATAACTTAGGCTGCGCAAATGCCACACTTAGTTTTTTTTTTCCTGAATTGGAAATAAGTCTATGAGCTTTTAGGAAAAAAGAAAGATGAAAAAATAGTAATGAAATAATGTAGGTTAAGAAATCCACCCCAGATCTAATCAAGTTTTCTTTCAAGTTCGGTTTAAATCATTCATTTACCACTATTACAATTCCAAAGTTAACAATTTGGATGCTTAAGGCTATTAGCAGAGTGCAAACTTAACTTGATAACCAAGCTATTTCAGGTGATCAATTTAAAAGTAAAGAATTCATCATCAAGTCATTTCCTAATTGCTGAAGATATTGGATTCATGTGGCAACTAAGAAGGTATGCACACTCGAGGTCTGAAGCTTGAATCTTAATAGACCATTGTCTTATCCTTCATTGGCCATCCATCAAAAGGCTTCCATCAATCCTATGCAAAATAGGTGTTTGAAAGTAAAAACTATGTTGGGTCATTCTAATTGCTTGACTAGTTGGCTGCAAGCAGGGTCAATAACGAGCCCAGTTCAATTGAGCTTCATTGTACTCAAAATCATCAAGTTTTGTTTGACTTAACTCGGCTTGACTCAAAAGAAATATCCTTGATATGCACTGGAATACAAAATCAATTCAATTTCAAACATGCTTTGGATCAATTTAAGTTACTGGAAGTTATAAGTGAAAGAGTGATGAATAGAAGACTTCAACATGAGACCTAGTGCATGCATGAGGAACCACTCAACCAATAGGCCAACTCTTCATTTAGATGTTATGCAAACAAAATATATCTAAATGATATTACAAGCTAAAATGAAATCAATTTTGAGCAAGCCATCTTAGTCACAAAATTTACTCAAAATTGAGTTCCAGCCTCTCCTCCTTGATTCAAAATTAACTAGAATAATATCAATTTTTGAGTCAAAATTGCTTCGTTAAAAAATTCTAGCGTGAGCTAGAGTTCACTTTTAGGCATTTTTATCAGCCTTAGCTGCAAGTGTTATCAGACATTCACTGCTTGGTTCCAGATTACCGCAGCTAACATGAAATACTAATTCTTCCAGCGACATAAAAAAATCAAATGCATGATATGCTTCCAACACTTCAACATCCATACACAGCATTTTGAACGTTGCATTTGAACAGATCATCTCACATTAGAAGACGAGAACAACTGCATCACTAAATTTAAATTGTTTATAAACATTTTGAAGAAATGCTGTAATCACGTATAAATTTGTCAACAAGATTTCTGTTCAGTAAGTCCAAAAGGAGCTTTATTGCTTCAAACAGATAAAGAAAACATGAAATTGTAAGGATACCTGCAAGATCAGGATGTGTTCGAGTAAGCTTTAGCCAATCCATTTGACTGTATCCCTTTTCAAAGGGTACTTTGGCACGCACTGCTGGCTTTATACGTGCAGGAATCTGTAACTCTAGCCCATCTAGTGAATCTCTGTTGGTTCCTGCTGCTCCAAGCACCAGTGATTCATTGGATTTGAAATCTGGCTGAGGCATGTCAGTTGAACCGAAGAGTGGAAAAACACTAGATGCAACATTCTTTTTATGCATATTAGCAGATGAACTTTGATCCTGGAAAGAATCATTACTCTTCAAGTCCTTATCATCAAAAAAATTATCTTCAAGGGTGATCTTATTGACATCGGGAATTGGTTTAGGTGAATCAACATGATCATTATCTGCTTGTGAATCAACCTACACAGGTATGTTCAACTTAATGATACCTTATAAAACTCATTAGCGACCAATATATTGAATGGCAAGTACATAAGTAGCAATTTTTTCTTTTTTGGTGGACTACCTAAAGAGAAAACTAATGACAATATGCAAATCAAAAGAAAAATCAGCTGGTAAAATTTCAAGTTGTGGAAGACTTGTGTGCTCTCCTTCTCAGAGTAACTATTCAATGAGCTGTTTTGCATCAATATTTCATCACTACTGCCAAAAGAATTGCCATGTAAGCAATAGTAAAAAATTGAAAGTTTTTATCAACACTTACATTACATTGCAAGTATGAAGCAATGAAAAGAAAACAGAGTTCTAATGTGCACAAGAATGTATAACAACATCTTCATCAGTCAAGGCCTACCATATTACCATAAACCACAGCAGAAAACACTAAATAAAGGATTAAGTCTATTAATGAGTGTAAATAAAAAATAAAAAATCCATAACCAGCTTGAAGTTGAAAAATTGTGAAGGTAGTGAAACCAAGGTAGTTTAGTTAACCAGCAAAGCAATAATTAATAAGATAATTAATTGAAATCAATGAGCTGGGCAGGAAATGACCCAGGCAGCAATTCCTAGCCCTAGCTAACCCACATATGAACCCTAAAGTTGCTGATAGCAAATATATGCAAAGATTGGCATAGAAGAACACTCAGATAAACACACTTTATTAGATTTGATAGAAGACACAGAGAATGGCAAAATTAAGTAGGCCAAATTTTGTTTATTGCAACTTTACCACCTCCCTTCATTTGGCTTAATAGATTTAACAAGGGATGGAAGGAAAATGAATGCAATATTGGACAAACTAATGAAAAAAAAAGTAAAACCAGAGATACATATTATGAAAATCATAGGCAGCACGTATGACTGAGAGAGAGAGAGAGAGAGCAGGCCTGCATGACTACAGGTTTTAATACAGACGATAATAGGGGGAAAGTTGTCTCATTAAATTTTTTTATAGTTGCATTATACTTCATATGAGACTAACAACTGGTCAAGACAAAAGATGCTAGCCGAAACATGAAATGGAGAGTACACACAAACAAAGATACATGTAAACCGTTTCAGAAAATGGTCTTTTATACATTCCAATGAGTATAGACCATATATCCTTAAAATTTGCTTAGGTTCAACTCATTAAAGAGAAAAATGTAACTAGTGTCCTAATTTTTCTTACATTCATTCAGTATAACGTATCCTAATCCTTCTAAGAATAGAAGGAAAGACAAGTACAATTCCTGCAGTGCTTTATTAACTGATATTTGACCGTTTGATCTACAGTTATCAAAAAGTACTTGTAGTTCATTTCTGCTCAAATTATGTAATCATGCACGCCAGTATATTCTTCTAAAAATAATAAAGAAATAAGACTTTGCAATCCACTTTCTGTTACACCCAGCATAATGAGCATCCATTACTTCTTAAGACAAAAATACATAATAAAAATTAGCAAATCACTTTATTAATTACGTTTCTTAGATAACACAGAATTTGGCCAATGTATGTATTATCAAAATGAGAACATTTTGACAGATACAAATGACATCGATAGGGTCAAATCATAGAAATTCCGTCCTCAGTGAAGGAAAATATTTGCAAAGGCAAAGAAAATATCCTATACATGAAAGTTTGTAAAACTCAACTTACCTTGCAAAAGGTGAAGTCATTGCTATCATTGTCATCCATTGCCAACTTTTGATATGCACTTACGAGAAAAAAATTGCATTAAGATCCAAAATTCCTCTCGAATCTATGACAAGCCTCAATTACCTAGGCCATAACAAACATGTGTAAAAAAACAGAAAATAGAAAAATAAATAAATATTATATAAAAAAATTAAAGTTGGCATCTGCACATTTACAGGTTACCCAATATCCACCAGAAACAAGAAAAAATGAGAACTTTTTTTCAATAGGATAATGGATTATTACATTAAATGCCTACCATTCAATATAGTAAAAGAAAGCAATGAGTACATAATACTCCATAGTAATATTGCTTTAACAGGTTTTATGTAAAAACATGAAAACTATAAATTTGCAAAAGCAACAAATAATTATAAGACGACATATAAAGATCTGTACCTACAAGTATTTAATTTACATCTTTACATGTACTTAGCCTATTAATACCGCATTGTAATACTTCTCAGATATGTAATAATAGTCATTTTCCTCTTCCTCATTCTCTGGCTTCGCTCTTCTCCGATCTCCCTGCTTCGTTCTCTCCTACGTCTCTCATGGTATCAGAGCCAATGGGGGACCTAGATGCTGCCGAAGCCTTCCCCATTTCCTCCTCCTCCTCCGATCAAACAACTGATTCCTCTACCGCTAGCCACATTCCCCAACCATTGAAGTTTCTTGTATCCAACATCAAGAATCTAGCCCCTCACCCCCTAACGATGGACAACTACTCCATTTGGCGGGTTCAACTCCTCCAGCAATTTACAGCAAACGGGTACGCCGGACATCTTACCGGTACAACTCTCGCTCCGCTGGACACCTCCTCCGCCGCCTACGCAACCTGGTGCCTCATTGACAGCAATCTGCTCTCCGCACTATTCTCCATCGTCTCTCAATCCATCCTTCCGTATATCATCACCGCTACGTCTGCCAATGAAGCATGGACGATTCTTGAACGCCGACTTCAACCGATCAGTCGTTCGCAGGTGATTCAGCTCAAGAACGAGCTCTACCAGGTTCAAATGAAAGACATGCCGATGCAACAATACCTCACAAGAATCAAAACAATTGTGGATAATATATCCGCATCTGGCTCAAAAATCGACCCCGAAGACGTGATGCTACATATATTAAACGGCCTCCCTCCCACCTTCAATTCTTTTAAATCCACGATTCGTAACTCTTTACTTCCCATTGACCTTGACACCTTCTACTCACTCTTATGCAATGAAGAAATTCACTTGCAACAAGAACTAATTCAAGATACTAACCAAAACTCAGCGGCCACGGCTCTTTATGTTAACCCCTCGTCGAATTATCGCAGTCGTAACAACACCAAAAGATTCGGCAAAATCAAGAACCCGCAGCAACCGACAGCAACTCAATCCACGCCGCCCGCTACGTCAAATAATTCCCGACCAACCTATCAGATCTGTGGCAAACCCGATAACGTTGCGCTGAATTGTTGGCATATGTTCGGTTGCCTTTGCTACCCCTGGCTCAGACCATATGCTCCGGATAAACTATCTCCGCGCTCGCAAGCCTGCGCATTCATTGGCTACTCGCACACTCACAAAGGGTACAGATGCTACGATGTTGATTCCGGCAAAATCTACACTTCTAGGCATGTGGTCTTTCACGAACGGCAGTTTCCTTTCAAGACCACTAAACCAAGGGACCCTCATTCTGTAAGCTCTACACCTCTCATCATGCCTCCTTCCCTTCTTATTCCATCATCCATCTCCTCTCAGCACACGGTTAACAACGCGGCTCAACACCCTCTCAACACCTCAGCCAACATCAACACTACATGCCTTCAGAATGATCCTATAACCCATGACTCCGCTCCTGACACTTCTCAACATACAGACTCACCGCCTTCTGCTCCCATCCCGCGACCTTGCCACCCTATGACCACCCGTTTGAAATCGGGAATAAGCAAACCAAGACAGATCCTCAACCTTCTTACCCATACCACTCCCTCTGACACACCCACCACGTACAGTCAAGCTTTAAAATCAGAACACTGGCGCAAAGCAATGGTTGCAGAATTTGACGCTCTCAAACAACAAGCAACTTGGTCCCTAGTCTCACCACCACCCAACAAACCGGTCCTCGGCTGCAAATGGACGTTTAAGACCAAACTTCTGCCCTCCGGTCAAGTGGAAAGGTATAAGGCAAGGCTAGTTGCTCTTGGATACAATCAACAATTTGGCATCAATTACAACGAGACTTTCAGCCCCGTCGCCAAGATGCCCACGATTCGTCTTCTGATTACCCTCGCTCTAAACTGTCAATGGCCGATGCACCAATTAGACATTTCAAACGCTTTTCTACACGGCGATCTAACGGACGAAGTTTACATGCGGCAGCCTTCCGGGTTCGTCGATCCACAAAATCCAACTGCCGTATGCAAACTACATAAATCACTATACGGATTAAAGCAGGCGCCTAGGCAATGGTTTCAAAAGCTTACAAGTTTTCTTCAGACCAAAGGCTTCACGTTCAGCCGATCGGATCCATCACTCTTAATTTTTAACACTGACCAAACTCAACTCTTTATTCTCATCTATGTGGATGATTTCTTAGTCACAGGGAATGATGCCGCAGCAATACAACGTCTTCTTCAGCAGCTGAAAACTCAATTTGCACTCAAACAACTAGGAAACATCTCTCTCTTCCTCGGCATCCAGGTGCTTTAATCCAATACTGGCCTTTTCCTATCTCAAAAACATTATGCCATTAAACTTCTTCATGATGCAGGATTCCAGGACTACAAGCCAGCTCCCACGCCGGTCACACCGTCCAGCAAGGTTCAACTCGCAATCAGCCCTCCGTTTCCAGATCCATCACTCTACAGCCGGTTAGCCGGATCGCTACAATATTTGTCGATTACACGGCCAGACATTGCCTATGCGACAAATCGGGTATGTCAACATATGCAAAGTCCAACAGAACAGGATTTCAAAGCTCTCAAACGACTTCTCCGGTACATCAATGGCACACTCTCCTACGGTCTACCCATCACCACCGGCAACTTGGATCTCCATTCCTACTCGGATGCAGACTGCGCATCCGATGCCTCAGACCGGAAATCCATTTCTGGATTTTGCACTTTCCTTGGACCGAATCTAATTTCTTGGACCGTGAAAAAGCAACCCACGGTAGCCAAGTCATCCACTGAAGCAGAATACCGATCGCTCTCCGCTGCCGCTTCGGAAGTCCTATGGTTACGTCGCCTCGCGCAGGAGCTGCATCTACCTCAACCATCCCCCACTACAATCCACTGCGACAACACGTCTGCAATTGCTATTGCCAGAAATCCCATCTTCCATGCGCGAACAAAGCACATCGAGATCGACTACCACTTCATTCGCCAACAAATCAGTGCAGGCGAGATCAAGCTCGCACACATTTCATCCAAGGATCAAGTGGCAGACATTCTCATCAAACCTTTCACCATATCACGGTTCAATGAAATCAGAAGTAAATTAACCATTTAATCCATGAATGATTAATTTGAGGGACCCTATCAGACGACATATCAAGATCTGTACCTACATGTATTTAATTAACAAGAAAAAATGAGAACTTTTTTTCAATAGGATAATGGATTATTACATTAAATGCCTACCATTCAATATAGTAAAAGAAAGCAATGAGTACATAATACTCCATAGTAATATTGCTTTAACAGCTTTTATGTAAAAACATGAAAACTGTAAATTTGCAAAAGCAACAAATAATACCACATGGGTTCCTTTAAGTATCATGTATCGTGATAAAAATGTAAAAATAAAATAAAATACTACTTCAAAAGCTCCTGGTGCATTTTTTACGTCAAGTGTGTAAGAGGAACGATCAAAACATGAGGACCTTTGATAAAATTGAATGTTCATATGTAAGTTGTTTGGGATACCAAGAAGAAAAGTAGGTAAGAATTAACCAAATAAAAGGGAAAACTGGGGACTTCGAAGTTCGCAGTACAAGGCGTTATTTATCGTAACACTTGACTACACCGACACTTGGATAGAGAGGGAAGAAATTACCTGGAGTCACCGGAACTGGGAGGAGTTTTTACGCGGATCTGTTTCGGCTCGGATGGGAGGAGGACGGAGGAATTGGGCTTCGATCTGTTCGGTCGAGCGAGGGAGAAGAGAGACAGGAGGGTCTTCGGGCCTTCAGCTAGAGCTTGGGAGCTGGGCCATGCGAACAGAGAGGTGAGTGAGAGAGAGGAAGGAGAGTTTGGCAGGCTTCTCTCGGGCGGAAATGCTGAAGCCTGAATGATTCGAAGAAGCAGGAGAGAGGGTGGCGCCGATGCGGCTAGGGCTTAAGGAGGCGATTAGGCGAAGAAGAATGAGAGAAGAGGCCAGGGGCGGGACGGGAAATTATTAGGTCCGGTCACCGTCGGAACATTCAATTAAAATTTGTCACGCGGATCGTGTTTTGATTGTATTTTAGGTTTGTTTTGACTATGCTTACTTATACTTTGACTGTGTTTTATTTGTATTTTACCTATGCTTTATCCGTGCATTTGACGAGCTTGACATAAAATTTCACAGACACGTGTACATTCTACATGTCAATTTTTATTGGTGTCCGGACGTATCTCTATGTCCAGTGACCGGACCTAATAATTTTTCGGGGTAGGACCGTCGAGTAGAGGAGAAATTATTACGTATGGGTCATCCGGATTTAGATGTACATATTATATACATCTAAATCCGGACATTCGAAATTTGCATGTAATAATCTCTTCGGGTAGTGACTTAAGGTTTTTTGTTTTTCAACCGTATAAGACTTATAAGATATAAGCTTTTAAATATTTGAAATATTATAATAATTAATCGAGCAGCTTAATAAGCTTTTGAGTGGAGTCTGGCTGAGCTAAAAATCTAGCTCGTTTACTATACGAGCTCGATTATATGCTCGAGCTCGAAGCTCGATAAGCACAGCTCACGAGCTCATTAGTGAGTCAAGTTCGAGCCGTCTCGGCTCACTTAACACCTAAGCTAAATTAAAACTAGATCCCAATGATGTAAATCTCTCTATCTCTCTCTAGCATCCATTAAATATCCATTAACTTCCTCGCTCTTTCTCTCTCTCTTTAGCTCTCATGCTCTTTGAATATTAAAATTATTGAAATTTAATAAGAAAAATACTTGAATTGAATGACTTTGTGATTGTTTGACTTGCGAATGAATAAAATCCATTTCCTATTATATTAATATATCTTATTAGTCAAACTAAAACGGCGTGAGTCAAACATATCTAGCCCCGAGTTTGGGCTCAAGCATTTACACGAGCTCAAGCTCATATAGTCATATGCTTGTTGGGCCACTCATTTACGTTAATATATATTTCAAAATTAATTTTAAAATTATATAATAAAATATTTACAAAATATTTTTAATAAAGGTATTGCAAATCCTCACAAACAAGGCAATTTGTTATTACAAAGGGAAGGAAAAAAAAAAACCTATTAATCATTATAATATTTCAAATTTTAGAGCACAAGCAAATATTATAAAATAAGTTCTTAAATAAATAATATATACGAGTAATTACCATATGATTATATCAATGCTTACGCATCTGTAATTTCTGGAATGATTCGGTCAAATTTGTGAAGCCAAAAAGGTCAGAGTCGCAAAGGGAAGCGTGAGAAAATTTGTTAAAATGAACCAAATTCCTATCAGTTGAACAGAAAACTGCGATTCAATTGGGATGAGCTTTCAAAACTTCAATGATATGCTAGAAATTAGGGGTTTTTGACTCAACCCGAAACACGATCCGAACCTGATCCGGAAAAATCCGGGTTAGGATCAACCCGGAACCGACCCGACACGAAACAGGGCGAGTTCGGGTTCAACAAATCAACCCGTTTTAAAAAAAGGGTTGGGTTCAGGTTGACCCAGCAACCCAAATTTGACAAGAAAACCCCTATTTGACCCAAAAACCCGAGATTGACCAGTTTTGACCAGAAAATCGAAGATTGACCCGTTTTGACTTGAAAATCGAACATTGACCCTATTTTTGACCCAAAAACTAGCAATTTTAGGTCAACTTCGGGTCATTTGTGTCGGGTCGGGTTGACCCGAACCCGAATCGGGTCAGGTTCGGGTCGAAAACCTGACCCATTTTTAAAAACGGTTCAGATTCAAGTTGACCAAAATAATGTTGGGTCAATTCCGAGTTCGACCCGAACCCGACCCGTGACCCGAAGTTGACACCCCTAGACCATAGGGATGTTCTCTAATGCTTCTTGAATCATTCATAAAAAATATTTCTTCCATTAGAAAAGCCTTTGTACTGTATCTTTAGGTATTATATTTACACAAACCAATAGACTGCTTCAGTTAGCTCTTCGCTGTTTACTTAAGAGAATGTTTGATAATAATAATAATAATAAACGATGCGAAAGAAATGCAATATAAAATAAATAAATTAAAATTATTTAAATGAGTATAAAATAAATTCAGATGAATATTTTTTTCTTTGGTTTAAAATAAAATAAACATAGTATAAAGATTAATGATGGTGGCGACACTGGTGGTTGGCTGGCGGCAAATGGCGATGGCTACGGTGACTGGTGGTTTGTGTTGATGGGTGGCAGCCAACAGCCAGAGGCAACATGTATAAACGATTCTCATCCTAACATATTTTTCCATTAGAACCTCCTTACAATTTTTTTTCCTCATAGAAAATGATCGCACCATAATAAGAATACAAGTAGTTTCTAAAGCAGCTTTTTAAATCAAAATTTTATTGAAAGAAGCAAAAAAAAAAAAAAACAATAACCTAGGTTTCGTTTGAGACAGCTTTTTTCCTTGCTTCTTGAAGTAATTTTTTAGTATAAAAATTAATTTTTTTGTACTAGAAAGATGATTCAAGAAGCAGTAAAAAAACCGTCCCAAACAAAACCATAATATTGTCCGAAATAAAACCTTAGGTTGAATCCCATACTTCTCAAACAAAAATATAATACAGTCTTTACCTCTTTTAGTGAAACATCTAAACAATGAACTCAGAATTTGATTATTTGTGCAGTTTTTATTTCTAATTTATTTTTTTAAGAGTGGCAGCACTCATCTGGGGTTGAAGATCCAGATTCTTGGCATGGACATAAATATTGGATATTTTTTTTTATAATAAATGCATAAGAAAATCATATTTTTATTTAATGTTAAAACATTAAAAAAAAATTGATCCAAAATGGCCATTAAATGATTGGAGGTGAAATATTTGAAGGGCATATTTTTAGCATAACAAATGGTTATCATTATCTAAAACAAACAACAATCATGTCAACAAAATGTGCACAGGGCCTTCGTCATCATCTATTTCGAGGAAAGAAAACCACGGAATTATTGACGAGAACGATTTTGGGCGATCACAAAATTTGCCAAAACACTAAACAGATTACTCTTGCAAGTGCTACAAAATGCAAACCTGTTAACTTGCCATCGCATCCTTGCTGAAAGAGTAAAATGACCATGCCCAATACTGCAGCACCTGCAAAAAAAAAAAAAAAAGTTGAAGATCATTTTTTTTTGTAACGAGGAAGCACTGTCCTTAGGCCAGTGAAAACCCCGGTCGACCTAACATGCAACTCACATCAATTTACACGGGTCAACACTTAAGGCTTTCACTGCTTGCCAAGATATTCGAACCAGGGACCTGGGCTTTGCCCAGCCGGCTCTTCACCACCTGGACAAACAGTGGTGGGTAAAGAAAGCAATTCGTGCTTGAAAATCGAACCTTCTTAATTCTCAGCAAATATGTACAAAATTTGAGCAGTAGCCATTCCATCTCATGCTACCACCCTACTGTGAAGGGATTAACTTCAAGTTCGACTTAATGCAGGAAGCAGAAACCGAGAAAGCTGGAATTGTTTGGTCGTTTAAGAGTTTAGTATTGAATGGCGCCAGCTGATCCCGGTCTTTATGCCTGCGATATTCCTGCCAGCCTCTGATCAGTAGAACAGCCGAGTTCGGGCTGGCAGGTGCAGGCATGCCCAGGCCCCTTTAGCGGGGCCGGGCTAGTCCAAAGTTTGCTTCAGTTTGTTGTTGATGAGTCTGCAATATATTCAAGCACAACAATGCAAAACAGCTCAGTCATGATTTCCAATCAAATTAAGGCCAAAAAGAACATTGCAAACTAAGAGATACTTGGGATTCATTTGGGACGGCTTTCTTATTGCTTCTTAAAGTAGCTTTCTAGTTAAATAATAATAATTTTTTTGTATTAAAAAGCTGCTTTAAGAAGCAGTAAGAAACCCGTCCCAAACGAAGCCTTATACTACTTATGAAGTCATTTCTCAATAGCAGGCATTTAAGTTCTTAAAACTAAGTATTTGAATATATTTTAAAGAAACAGTTGGCATAAGAAGAAACATTTCCTACAGTTCAACCTGGTTTTCAGTCAGTATATTAAACCAAAGGATGAGCATGACAAATGAAATTAGTCATATATATCTTATCAAACCATTTCTTAGTAGAAGGCATTCAAGTTATTAAAAGATGCAATTTGATTTCAAAATGCAATGCATCCACCTAATACTTGAGGCTGATTTTAGAATCCTCTAGCACTAGATTATTCGGAGGATAATAGTTTTGATAATGCCTATTTACCGAGTGTCAAGAATATATAGTTTTGAAAATCCTCCAGCAATAGATTTTGGGTCGTCCAATCCCTTGTGCAAACGGCAAATCGAAGTTAGTAACCTTTACCAAAACGGTAACGGTACTTCCATCTTATGTGCACTTGGTTGATTATGAAACCCCTAAATAATGTTTTGATGTACATAAAATGAAGTCATTTCAAACCAATGCATTTTCACAAGCAACAATCCAAGTGCTCAACTTCAACTAAGGCTGATTATCGAATTTATAGTAAGAAACAAAAGATCTAAATGCATTGACAACATAATAAATAGGAGTATGCATTTGTTCAATTTAGATGGTTTGCTTCATTAGTTGGCTAAACTAGTGGGCTTTACTGTGAAATTTAGAAAATCAAACCAAACAATTTATTTTTCAAACTTTAATTTGGACAAATAAATTTGGTTTTGGATGAATAAAAGATAAAATTTAACTTTAACTACTACTACTACAACAACAACAAGCCACATGGGATTGTTGTTGTTGTAGTAGTAGTAGTTAAAGTTAAATTCTTATGTTTGTTAAAGTTAAAATTTTACTTTAACTTTACTACTACTACAACAACTTGTGTCCAATTAAAAGTAGGCTATATAAATCTTTTTTCTCCATTGTGTCCAATTAAAAGTCAAATTCTTATTTAAATTAAATAAAAAAGGTCATTTCTATAATTTATATCCAAGTCTTTTTAGGTATAACTCTAACTTTCTTAACATAGGCCGGATCTAATATATCTACTCTCCAAACATGATCATCAGAAAGCCAATTTTTATGTGACCAAATCATCTAAGGCAACTCTCTTTAATCTTATCTGCCACTAGAGCTACTCCAACCTTCCCACGTATATACTTGTTTCACATTCTATCTCTAAGTGTAAAACCACTAATCCACCTGAGCATTCTTATCTCTGCAACACTTAACTTAATTTTATGCTTCGATTTTAAAGGCCAACATTCTGCATTATAAAGCATTGTAGGTCTCACCACCATAATATGAAAATTTCACTTTAAGTTTGAGGGATACTTTTCTATCACACAGCAAGCCCAAAGCATTCCTCCACTTCAACCATCCAACTTGAATACTACTAAAAATAATTTAACTTTAACTATGAACCTAAATTATATTTAGCTTAAATAATATAATTAAGAAGAATATCAAATCATATCTATTTAAATTTATACTTTTGGCCGATGGAATAAATAATATCTACTTTGAATGCAACTTACTTATTTATATAATTTAATTTTACTTATTTATATAATTTAATTGATTTAATATTTGAAAAAACTAATTTAAATCAATTTTTGGATTAATTGGTTTTACAAAAGTATTAAAACAAAGATTCAATAATAAAAAAAGCAACAAAAAGTCAAAATTATAATGAATAATCGAACCAATACTTTAACAACCAAACTAAACCAACCAAATAAGATCGGATCGATCTGTTTTTTCAGTTTTTATACAAAAAATGCACATCTCTTGTAATAATCAGGAATGCAAATGATAATGAACAACAAACCTGTGGATATTGAACTTGCTCATGGGCATGTAGAAATGGCATTGGGCGTGGAGGACCAGAAAACTGAGAAGAATGTAAAAAAATAGATGAAGTTGGGTGAGCACCAACATGACTAGGATTATATTGCGCCATCAAGCCCTCTGGAGGGCCATAGTTAACTGCAGAAGCTGTGGATGCAGTTGGCCAAGTCCCCCGTAGTTGTTGAGGGGTAGGCCTTGGTTGGTGTTCAATAGATATTTGAGGTCTTTGAATAGATCCAAGCTGAGGGAATTCAGAGTTGTAGTTGACTACAGGTGCATATAATGGTTGCATTGTGTAAGGAGCTCCATTAAATCCAAACCCGGGGTCAAACCTTTGCATATACCTGAAAAATAGAATAAATATAATGCCAAAAGATAGGTAAAAAACCCTTAAATGCTTTACTAGAATTAAAAATAAATGACTCAAGCAGCTTCTGTATTCCTTATGTCCAGAGTGAAACTAGATTTCAGTTAGAAGAAATTGGTAAAAACAAACCCATGGCAGCGACAAATAAAGCATTCTACAGCTTCTAAATAAGTAAATCATCCGAGGTTTTATATAAGATTAAATAACCATTGTCCAAGTTACTTTTAACTAAAAATACATGCACGAAAAAAGCATACAGAAAATTCTTCTTTATAATCATGTTTGTTCTTTCTTTGGAGAATTTATTAATGGCCTGCTCACTAATAATCAAGACAAATGGAAGAATGAATCAAACGAAAGAAATTCAAAAGGAGCCAGTAAAACATAAAATAATATTCCTAAAAATTACATAAGAACAAAAAAAAAAACAGAAGAGTGCAATGCTGTGCAAATTCAAATAATACTGGAAGAATATAGAATAAGGCTACGGCTTAAAGTATCAGCCAATGAAGAAGGTTAAACTTTTCAGCAATCAAAACAATAGGATACACAGAGGCTAAAGGCAAAAGGAATACACGCTGCAAACAATGCCAATAACAAAGAATTAATTGTCAAATAAAAAATTTTCAATTATATCTAATGCACTGGCATTACAGCAAATAAAACTTCGTCAGATTACCTATCATAACTCCTATCATAGTCAGGATCCTTGCGATCGAGCTCACGGTCACGAAAAATAGCCACTCTGCTGGTCGTTTTCTGTCTGCCAACAACAACAGGTTCTTTTTCCAGTCTATTTCTACCATATCTGTTGTTGCCAATAGAAGAGCTGCTCATGACCCGCTTAAGGTGAGTTTCAGATGTTTCAGGAAAAAGTGAATCATCAGGGTTTGGTGATACCAAGGGGCATTTTTGAAGAATATCAGGCAAAGCTGGTTCAACCTCCGATTTTGTCGAAGTGCCAGCATCGCTGCTGTTGCTGAATATTCGAGCTCTTGCCTTATTATATTCTTCTTTTCTTTCCTCCACTGTTTTCATACTATTTTGATTAGATAAACGAGAATGTGGACCATTACCAGTTTGTGAGCTTTTGAGAGGTCTCTGCTTTATTGCAATTTTTTGTAAACTGTTTGTATCTTCCTGCTGTAAACTAACAGGAACGTCTGCAAGGCGTACTGGAAGTAATCTACAGTATGGCGTTTTATGAATCACAATCTGAGAACCAGAGCCATCGGGCATAACACTATCGGGCATGGCTACCGACTGCAGGTTATAATGTTGAGCTAATCGATGTGCGGCCAGTCTCAGATAGGAAGTAGGAAGGTCCTGGAACTCAAGCTGCTGTTGAGTAGGATCACGTATGAACTTTATAATATCTTGCTCCATCCTCAAAACTAAATACGATTAATAAGTTTGTTAACAATAAAACAAGAAATTTATACAAAAAAAGAACTACCATACTTAGCTTTCACATTTATAAACATAAAGCTATCAAAAAGTTCGTTTCAGGTCAAGACACATTAATTTATTTAGCAAATACTAGATAATGTAGCAAGACATTTATATCAACACAAACAAAATAATTCCTTTGTGATAAAATAATTGCCAAAATAGATATCATAAGATCATAAATACATCAATAATTAGCAGATAAAAACGTGGGAGAAATATGGTTGGAACAACACAAGCAGCACAAAATGCAAGCAAAACTTTAAAGCACCTTTAGACCAAGAAGGCAATTCAAAATTTCCAACGGATTTATGATCTGAATGTTTCACCAAAGAGAACTCTCAGATAAGTTAAATGTCCCAGGGATAAGACTGCAAAGATGCATATCTACAAAATCACATAGGAGTAGCATATTTAAGAAGGAAATATGTCATGTAAACTAGAGAGAGAGAGAGAGAGATGACATGAAAGATGAATTAATGGCCCATGCAAGCACATAACAAGAGACAAAAGAAAGAACAACGCAACTGATTATTTTAATTTTGTTAGTTGCAAATGCAAATTAAGGGTTAGTTGGAAATATTGGTCCCCCATCACCATTGGAGTTGCATTTTGTTTGGAAGCGCTATTTTGCATGCATGAGGAAGCTTATGTTTTTAAAGGCTTTCACTCATCTTGCATCACCATTTATTCCATGAAATCTTCTTTCAAGCATAGCTTGCTGATGTGAAACATGCAATTGAACAAGAGTTGTTTTGGGAAATTAACAATAGATTGAAAGTTAAAGTTGCTAATTAAAAGGTGTGTTTCACCAAGTTGAATTCGTATTTTCGCTAGGAGATTAAGTAATAGCAATTGATTACAAAGAGAGTAACAAGACAATTGCAAATAAAAACAAATCAAAATAGTAGGACTAATAGCAACTAAAAAAAAATCCACGGCATAACATCAAAAAAGTTTCACCATGAGTTCCTTCTCACTCGCTCTTGAGATTGGGTTTAGCGGAGGAATGGTAGAAGCAATCCAAATGATGCCACCACAAGACAAGTGGCGCGTAGGGCCTTGTTGGCCAGAGAAGTAGTCGGAGGATAAGAGGTCGTTGATCGGCCGACGAGAAACCAAAGTTCTTTGGGTCGTTGATATTCAATTGTCTCGGCAAGGCAATAGAGGATGCGGTTGATGTAGCTCTCCACGGAGACTTCATATTCCCAATCCGGATCGTCGAAAGGAGAAAGTAGGATATCGATTTCTCCTTGTGCGTTGTAGGCAAAACTGTGGTCAACCTCAGGGTTAGTCATACACCAATAGTATCAGGGAGGAAGGAGCTTGTCTTCTTCTATTGGCTTCAAGAGTTATGAGTGATCTAGGGTTTCCACGGGAGAGTATGTAAGTCGAGAAGCGGCCAAGGGGAGAGAGGGGAGGGGTAGCTTGGTTGAGAAGGATTTATGTTAGGTTAGAGAGGGGAGAGAGAGTTTTAGCAAATCTGAAATTTGTTTCAGATTTTAAGTAGATTTGGAAGGAACTTACTTGAAATTTGAATTCAAATTTAAGTGGAGTTTGGGGCCTCAATAGGAAGCAATGGGGAAGCGCATTAATTGGGGGTGGGGGTGGAGGGGGTGGGGCAGCATTAAGAGAGGAGGAGGGGTTTGTGAAGGTTTTTAAGAAGTTTCCAAACAAGGTTTGCCAAATAGGAAAGAGAATAATCAACCCTCTCTAATTTAAATTTAGATCAGATTTAGATTTAAAATCTTTCCTTATTTGAAATTTTGCAAATAAGGAAAATTTTTTTAAATTCAAATTTGAATTTCAAATAATTTAGAACTTTCCTATCTTGCTTGAATCAATCTAGGGAGCCATGATGATGTTTGGAATCATCATAATGGTGGGGAGCCATATGGGGGCGGTGGCAAGGGGGAGGGGGAAGGGTGTTGGTGCTGGGTAGGGGAAAAAGGGGAAATGTTGGGTCGGCGGGTGAAGGGGTTTGGGAGTTGGGATTAATTTGGGTTGAGGGGAGGTGGTGGGGAGATGGGCTGGCGGTGGAGTGGGAGGAGGGGCTGCCTGGTGGGGAAGAGAAAGAAGGAAAAGGAAAAGAAAAATAAACCTCGAGCCACATACACTTCCAATGACTAGTGGGTATTGCGCTTGCCCTCACGTTGGGCTATCGCTCCTCTAGTGCACACACACAAGAAGAAGAAGAAGACGAAATCAAACTTTCATTTAATCATTCATTAAGCTTTTACAAAGCATGAGACCACTATATATAGACCTCAAACATAAAAGTACACAAATGCCCTTCGGGCTACAATAAGAACACACTCCATATAGGGGTAAACTTGGAAAACTGAAAAACTAAATAAAAATATAAAATGCATTAAAAGTAAAGACTCTGAATCGTAACTGTCAATCTACGATTCTGTTGCCGGTACACGTGTCTGAATCTCTGAACGATGCCCTCATCACTTGCTCTTTTAATTTCTTACCTCACTGAAGCTCCCATCATAATCTCCTCTCATTAATGGTTCTAAGATTTTGGGGAGATGAGGGGAAGTGAATTATTTATGTTATATTGTTATGAATTAGGATAAGTAAATTATAATTTTAATTTCATAAAATTTTTATAATTTCTTAAATTATTTATAACACGTTGACATTTAATTTAGTTGATTAAGCATATTAAAAATATAATAAATATCTTGAAATTAAATGTTCTTCATATCAAATTTATAATTCAATGTTCTATATATTATTTTAATTAATTAATATACTTAAGATGTTATAAATAAACATGATATATTTAATCACATTTTAATTAAAAAAATACAAACTATCATCGAATTAATTATCAAACCTTTAAGAAATTACTTGTTGAACAACAAATAAGTTTATTTGTGAACATAAATAAATGAATAGGACAATGTACAACTTTGGTTCATTTAACATTAGAGTTTTTAAAAAGTAATCGAACTTGTTCAATTACAGAATTGAATGAACTTGAATGAGTATTCACCAAGTTGAATTCAATTTGTTCATCGAGTGCATTGGTTCACTTACAAATTTACAATAATGATGGTAATGCCCATGACATTTGTCCTCTCCCCTTCCTCTCTCTTTTATGTTGACATCATAAAAAAGGCAATGCAAACAATATTGACACCAATACAAACAATGACAACTAGTTCATCAATGACTGAGAGAAGAGGGGGGAGAATGAAAAAACATGGATATTTTTGTCTAATGCTTAACTAGTAGATTTGACTGATTTAAAAAATGGAATAACACTTTTGAACTATTTGAAAGTTTAAATAATTTATGGATCCAAATGAAAATTTGCCTAACACACTTATTAATTTTGTACTTTAAGATAAAGGGCCAAAAAAATAAAAAATAAAATAAATAGTTGTTCTAGGACTAGATGGAGACATTTAAATAATATTAACAAAAATAATCTTTTGAGAGTAAGATTCTAGATCTTAAGATTTTATCTGTATATGAGGAAGCTAATATTATGTGGGAAAAAGTAAATAGCGATATTAAGAATGTAGCAAAAGATGTGCTTGAAGTATCAAAAGAGAAAATCTACTAAAATCAAAAATAGTTGGTGGTGGAATCAAAATGTGCAATAAAAAATAAAAAACAAGAAGATTTATTATAAAATTGATTTAGCTGTAAAAATTCTGATAATCAGGAAAGATATAAAGAGGCCCGTAAGGAGTCTAATAAAGCAATATGAGATGCAAAAAATTTAGCTTTTAATGATTTATATAATAAATTAGATGTTAAGGAGGACAAAAATATATATGTATAAGTTAGCTAAACAAAGATATAAGAGTAATAAGGATTTAGTTCAAGTGAAGTGTATTAAGCATGAAGATCAAAAAGTGTTTTTATTAGAATTTAGAAGAGAATATTCAACAAAGGTAGATGAGTGTGTTATAAATCTTTTTAATGTTTCAAAAATATGAATGCTAAAAAAGATAAATTCTAAATCATTAATTTATAGAGCATTAAGAAGAAAATAGACAGAGGGGGAAGCGAAAGCATGTGCACCTCCTCCATATGAATTTTTTCCTCCCCTATTATATTAAATATAGAGTTGTTAATTATTTGCAAGCTCACTGCTTTATGGAGCACCTCTAATTCTAGTCTTCTAACTAGTGGCCATCTAAAAATTTCTAGTTCCATCTCTATGGCCATGAGGCAAGATGAATATAGGGTGTAGGTAAGTTGAGCTAGCTCGAGAGCCATATTTAATGAGCCAACAATTCGAGCTTCAGCAATGAACCAAGCTCAAGTAAAAAATGAGCTCAAGCATGAGGTTCTTATGGCTTAACTTCCAAAATTATCGGGATATATAAAAACCTATAGGATGGTATATTTATGAATATGAAAATTTTAAGGATATATATGCAATAGTAAAAGAAACCTACTTAGCCTCTTCAATCTTCATCTCTCGAACCTAATTCCCTCACACTACCACCTTCTCCCCTTTCTCCTCTTCATTCATCTAATGGGCAATGCCTTTGTCACATTTGCCTCCTTCATAAATGATGACTCAATCGCCACTATTGACGTGTTCCCCACTATCGATGTTGTTGATGCCTTTGTCGTCATTAACATCTTTATCACTGTAGATTTCTTCACCACCTTTGAGACCTTCTAAGGTAGACTTCATCCCTCTATCCTTCAACCCTTTCCTCCTCATCCATCACTTCCTCTATTGGATGAAGCTTGCTCCGATAAGTCATTGCATAAGTCCAACGTATTCAAACTCAACAGGTTGCTAGTTGAGATTAACAATGTTGGCAAACTCAAACTTGAGCTTTCTTGGCATGCTTGACCAGAACTCAAGCTCAAGTTCAAGGTTAGATGAAATTGGTTGATTTGAACTATAGTCAGGTGTGGCTTAAGCCCAACTTGACTAAGAAGACAAGTCGTCATAGCAAACAATTCACATTGACTATATCTCAAGCATTAATCAGTAAAAAAGGATTAAAAAAGGGGGATTTTTATAAATATCACCATATACTACTCTATTTATATATCTAATATCTAAAATTTTAATATTACATACATATCATCTATAGTTTACTTTCATATCAAATATGAGTGATAGAAATGAAATATATGAGTGGTATGAATGAAATATGAGTGATATATTTGATAAAAATAATATAGGGTGGCATGTATGTAATATTAAAGTTTTGGGTGTTAGATATGTAAATATGATGGTATAAAGTGGTATGCATGTAAATCCCAAAAAAAAATCCTTAACCATCCCTGACATACACATGGAGTTGCAGAAGCAGAACAAACACATCTTACTTTCTTCAACCTATACCATACATAACCATCAAGAAACCAAATTACACATGCAAATGCATAGACAACCCTTATCCAGATGCCAATCTACTTCAAAAATGATCATAGACACTAAATAGAAGCTGAAAAGAATATCATGCCGAAGCAAATACTACCAAGATTATTCAACGCAACTTAACGCTTATAACAATAAAGAAACCAGCGCACTCACTTGAGAGCCGTTCCCTGGGTTTCTCCAGAGCTTCCCTAAGGAACTGATCCACCTGATTCAACACATCCTCCGACATCACACCGCACCGCTCTCCTGAACCAGAAGACACAGCGGTAGTGGCGGCGGAAGCCACGAGATATGGCATCGCTGTCTCATCAGCAAACTCCTGCAAAGGAGATGACATCGATAGAAACGAATCCGAATTCTTCTTGGATGAGACCAACAACCTGCTCATGCGCTCGTCCAAATCGGCCGACTCCCACGAATCGGGGGGCCCGACATCCTCCCCGGAGCCCTCCATAGCCGGTCAGACACAAAGTGCGTCGAATATACCCTATATCCGGAGAGCCCAAACCCACGCTAGCTCCACTGGGGTGTAGAAGAGATCTAGGGTTTCAGATCGGAGAGCTTCGCGAGGAGAAGAAGTGCTCAGGTCGCGTATTCGCGGGCCCAGATTTGGTAATTTGCGGGGGCATATTGGAAAGTCCGCAAAGTCGAGAAATTTTGAGGAGGCGTATTTACGGCTTAATTTTCAGGGCATTCTGGGAGGTAAGGGTAAAGGATTCGACAAATTTGGTTCGGTCTAAGTGAACCGGAGTTACCGACGAGCGGCGCTTCGGATGAGGATGGTAGCTTGGGGATAATTTCAGGGGACTAAATTAATTTGTGGTGCATAGTGGAGGGCTTGAAAATATCAGAAAAAACCAAGTATTGTTTTTTCTTTTTTATTTCTAATGACTTGAGTAGTATTGATTGAGGCTTCTTTTTTGCGATTTTTTTTCTTTTTTTAAATTATTTTTTTAGTACAAAATTTTTATAATAAAAAATATCTTAAAAAACAGCAAAAAAATCATATGAACTCCTATTTCAGCAAACTTATAGTCAAGCTGAGCGTCTCAGAAATACGAACCCAACGACACCAAATTCAACTCAATCCAAACCCAAATGAGTACAAATCAATGACCCGAAGCGCTGTTGGAAGATTTGAACCACAATTTGGATTACCAAACGGTTTTTAAACGTGATATGCTTATAGTTGAATCGAGCGGCTTGACGAGATGAATCCAACGAGCCCAAGATTGTCAAATTCTGATTTCATTATTACTTTCAAATGTCTGACGAACGGTTCACAATCAAGGGATTCAATATCGGCCGTCCATCTGAACCACTTCACATTTGCCCTTGATCCTCCTCCTACTTACGTGTCATGCCATCCTCAAAAAACTATAAATAGTCCATCATTTCTCTTGAGAGGAGACCCAAGCAAGAAGCAAGAAGAGAAGAAGAAAAGGAAGAAGAGAAGATTATGAGGGAAGAAACTCCTCCTCGACCACCGTCATCGGAATTCTGCCTGAATTCTGAACGACTTCGAAACTCCGCCTAATCTCCAAGTAACGATGGAGTTCTCCCCGGCCGCCGACTGACATCGGACTTCTACTCGACGTCAGACCTCTGCTCGTCGCTAGATTTCTACTCGACGTCGAACTTCTGCCAGTTGTCAGTTTTGTTGGTCATCTATCCGATGTTGGATTTCTATCCATTGTTAGACTTCTATCTGACGTCGACCTTCTAACCTCCGTTGTTAGACAATGATCCTTTCGACCTCCGTCGCCCGTCGACTACGATCCTCCTCACTTATATCGCCTACCGACAATAGTTCTTCCGAACTTCGTTGTTAGACAACGATCCTTTTGACCTCCGTCGCCCGCCGACTACGAGCCTCCTAACTTACGTCATCCACCGACTATAATCCTTCTGACCTCCGTCGCCAGACAACGGTCTTTATGGCCTCTGTCGCCCGCCGACTACGGTTCTTCTGACCTTCGTCACCAGACTATGGTCCTTCTGACCAAACGAACAATCTCAAAAGCAGAACTCTTAAACAATTTAAAATTATATTACGTGTACATAAATTTGATAGGCAATTATGTCTTTTATAATAAAATCTCAAAAGCAGAACTCTTAAACAAACAATTTAAAATTACTTTCAAGTATTCATAAGCACTTTTAAAAATATTATTCAAACATATCTCATTACTGAAACTCCATTTTATTGAACGGCTTTTTCTCAACCTCTTTTTTTAAAACTCGTTTTTATGTAAGCATAAACCGAATCAATCGAAGCCTAAATTTAATAAATTAAGATCTAAAAAGTTGTATTTATGTTTAATTTATTATGAAGTTATATTCAAATAAGCAAATGATAATTATTGATTTATTTTTTATTACATGGAAAAAATTATTGTTTTGTTAATAAATAAGCAGAATTCAAATAATTCTCAAGAGTACCAGATTTCTATTAAGAATAATTTTATGGTCCGTATTACATTAAGGGGCTCTAACAGCGTTACATTAATAGGGAATTTTTTTAAGTAATATTTTTAGAATTGTAAGGGGCTTTTTAGATTCTTTTATAACTTTTCCAACTTTGAATGAGAGATATTGGGGGAATGTTTAATAGTGGTTTATAGTAAAGAAGATGAATTGGAGTAATCAACATAGCTAAATTAGTCATTTGACTTAACCAAGTGTTAGACAATCCTCCTAATTCAAAATTTTAAATCAATACTCGTATTAAGGTCCTTTTGAGTCGGGCTAGAATTCAATGGGCTAACACTAGAACAATCAATAATCAAGGACGAAGTCTTTGAATCCTAAATTGCTAGTACTCCTCGACACATAAACTAGGAGTAACAAATTTTTCCTTCTAAAACTTAATCCATCATCCCTTGAATGAATTTATAAAAAATAACCAATTTCATTATTATTTTATTTTTTTGTGTAGTTAAAATACTTTGTTCTTTATAGGCCTCAGCGAGAATTCGTCTCCAAGATTTAGCTCTTTCAAAATAAGCAATATGCTTTTCATTTTTATGAATGACTTCAATTACCAACCTACAATCATGAAGATCTTAAGGAAATTTATCATTGAAATTGTCACATCTAAATAAGAACTTTATGTTAAAGGAGTTTGGGAACAATAAAACAAAGAAGGTAAGTAAAAAATCCAAAAACATAAAGAAATGCATTAGTAGGGCTACAAACGAACCGAGCCGAGCCGAGTATGTGAGTGTTCATGTTTGTGTTCATTTAATATCAGCTTGTTCAAGTTTGGTTCATGTTTGTTCGAGCTTTATTGTTTGTGTTCATGTTTGGTTCATTTAAATTAATGAGTGTTCATGTTCGGTTCATGTTCAGTTCATGTTCGTTTGTTTAGTGTTTATCGAGCTTGTTCGCGAACATATTTAACAAATTTTTTTTTAACTATCAAACAAATACGTTTATGAACATATTTATGAACAAACACATTTATAATAAAAGCAATTGTCTATATAACAAAGGTAATGATTATTTATATTTATTAATTCTATAGTCAAATATTAATTATTTTTATCGAGCTTATTCACAAGTTCAAAATCGAACACGAATCGAGCTTCTTATCGAGCTTAATGTCGAGCTTGTTCACGAACTTCAAATGATGTTGTTCGCGAACATAAATGAGCCGAACGCATTAGTGTTCAAGTTTGTTTATTTAAGAATCGAGTATTTAAAATATTGTTCAAGTTTGTTTGTTTAGTTATTAAACGATCACAAACGAGCTTTAATCGAACCGAACAACGAGTAGCTCGTCGAACGTTTGGTTAACTTGCAGCCCTATGCATTAGTAATAGCCAACCTAATTTATAGGTAAAGAATGTGAAGAAATCTTATGCTAGTTGACTTCATTTTGAAGAATGATTATACAACAAAGTTTTATTTCATATATATATAAATAAGGTCAAGGAGAAGTAAGATCTAAACTTATCTCATAATTAAACACAAATAATAAATAAGTTTTTATTTAATTGAATATAAAATTTTTATTATACTGAGTCAAAAGAAAATAAAATATAATAGTAAAGTCGAAAGGGAGAAGTAGGGGTATGACTATAAATGAATCAAATTGACAATTGAGAGCTTGCTTGAGCTCAAGCACCTGGCTAAAACAATGTTTATGGTCGACCTCGAGTTCAAAGTGTTCAAGTTTATATAGGTGAATAGGGTATATCTTATGTACACATGTCAGCGACTGATTGATTATAACAATCAGCTATATGTAAGGGGCTAAGCTGCTATCCTAATAGTTTTATTTGAAGTCATGGTTGTTTGAGCTTGACTTAGTTTGATTTGTTTAAAATAAACGAGCAATTTGGCCCAATCAATGAGCAGTAATATTTAACAACTTGTTTGATCAAATGAGCCTTTTTGAGCCTATTAATGAGCAACACTGATGAGTAGGATAATAGTTAATTGAATAAGTTTGATCAAACTTATTATTGAGCAATCTATCAAGCTTAAAAATGAGATTTACTAAGTAAATAAGTACTTTAGCTAGAATAACAAATAGCTTGTGTTCGTAAATAACATATATCAAATATAAAAGAACAAGATCATCACGAGATACATATTAAATAAATTTATATTTGAATCTTAAATGAACATATTATCTAGTCTTAAATATGCACGCTAATGAGACTTAATTGAACTTCTATAACAAAATTATTCACAAGAGTTAAATGATATTATTTAAGATCGAAAATTAATTAAGAACCAAGTTGGTAAAGCTACAAAAGTAAGCAAAATTAATTTTAAAGAGTTAAATGATATTATTTAAGATAAAAAATTAATCGAGACCAAGTTGGTAAGGCTACAAAAGTAAGCAAAATTAATTTTAAAGAGTTAAATGATATTATTTAAGATCAAAAATTAATTGAGAACCAAGTTGGTAAAGCTACAAAAATAACCAAATTAATTTGATTAGTTAATTAAAAAATTATAAGCGAGTTCTAATCGAACTAAGTCACAAGTAACATGTATATCATATGGTTTCATTCAATGCTCTATGTAGAAGCATCTATAAAGTCCATGTAACAGCTCAAATTCTTTACAATCAAAATATTATCCACTTTGGCCTAACAGTATAAAAAATTTGTCATATTTGTGGAACTTGCTAGGATGTTATATATCTCAGAATTTCTTCGAGATGAGCACTCTAAATTGAAGAGTTTCTTAATGGAATTCCAACCATTACACCAAAAGGCATCTTATGTTTAAGAGTTTAGTTTCTTTTTACTTAATGGTTCAACATGAGCAACATTTGAAAAAGGGATGGCCAAGCAGAAAGAGAGGAAAAATAGAAAAAAAATGACACTAAGAGCTGGAAGCAAAAAAGAGGCAACTAAGCTAAGAACAAGTCATTGCCATTTGAACCAAAATTTGATGAAATTAGGGTATAATCACTATAATTGTATGGCTAACAATCCTACTTAATTACACAATTTTTACAACAAAATCGAAAAAAAAAAATCTCAACTAATCTCTCAAAAAACAATCATAACATTTAGTTGTTTATAACAATAGCCCACTTATAAAATAATCACAAATAAATAAATAATATTTTTACTTTTTTTTTTATTGCACTCAATCATTTCATAAAGCTACAAATAATAACTTGTTTCACAAACCTCATCATCATTTTCCTTACTACAAGATGAGGCAAGAACATGTATAGTCCTCATCGCTATCTATCCCCTTATCATCCACAAAAGAGCCTCCTTTCCAACGAAGAAGCTCATTCCTCGCTTCATTTATTTCTGCTTCTTGCAAGCCGAATTGGCTGCGAGGCTTGTGATCCAGACGCTGTCGGCGACGACCGGCTCGTCGTCGTCGTTGCGGTGCCAGGTCCACAGAGCATGCGTGGAGTTGACGACGTCGAGCTGGCCATGGCCGAGGCTAGGCCCCGTGGTTTTTCCCCCTTTTTCAGGGGTTTTCCACGTAAAAATCTTGGTGTCTCATAAATGCTAGACCCTCTCTCCTTATCTGATTGCGCGCCGGATTTTCGTACAACGCTAAGACGTTAAATCTTATATTTCTCTACCGCCGCGAATACTCCTGGACGCAACAATTTGTAATAAAAATATATTTTCAATAATAAAAATTTAAGATATTTATGAATAGTTAGCAAAACAAATGAAAAAAAAAATCTCAATATTTTGACTTTTGAGACGACCAATATCCATTATGTCTTGGCCCATTTATTTTTCAAAAAGTTAGATGAAGATAAAACATTGTTAATAAAACAAATGCAAAAATTGAAAAAAAAAATGTTGAATACATTTGATAAAACTAAATTAAAAAATTCATAAAATGTAAATTTAGATTGATAAAATATCCTTATTGAATTTAATTAATGATATTTTTCAAGGAAAATAATTCTATCAAGATAAACAAAATGAATTCTATTAAAATTATCAAATTTATCTTGAGATTAGTAGTTATCTTCCACTAATCTTTAAGTAAATCCAACTTATTTAAAATACCTTTGAACCAACATTTTTCCCTAAAATTTTGGACCAAAAAGTTTTTTTTATAAGAATTTATTGATATAAGTTATATCTTTAATTTATTGTTATACAAATTATAAAATTAATTTTTTTTTATTTCCAAAAATTGATTTACATGCATACCACTTTATTTCATGCTATTTATATATCTAATACAAAAAACATTAATATTACATGTTTATCTTCCATAGAATAAATTTGGGTGCATGGAATGAAATATTAAAGTTTATAATATGATATGAATGATAGAAATGAATTATAGGAGTTGTATATTTGATATTAAAGTTGTATATGGATGATAGATATGTAATATTAATATTTTTGGTGTTAGATATGTAAATAACATTAAATAAAGTGATATGTATGTAAATTTTCCAAAATTTATAGACACTTACAAAGCGTTCGTAGGCATGCACGTGTCCGGCGAAAACGACGTCGACGCGGCCTTCATAAATCACCTCCTCCATCGTCTTCCTCATCCCCTCCCCCTCGCCCTGATGCGCCTCATTCGTATTATACCACGGCGCGTGCAGCACCCCAATCACCCACGCCGTCCTCTCCCTATCCACCTTCTCCAAATCCCCCTTCAGCCACCCATACTGCTCCGAACCGACCTCAAAGTCGGCGTAAGAGCCGAGCATGACGACGTGGACCTGACCGCCGGCGGCGTCGAAAGAGTAGAAGAGATTGGACGGAGAGTCGCTTTGCTCGAAGGGCATGTGCCAGCGGGCGTTGTAGGATTTGAAGGGCTTGGGCTGGAGGAAGGGGATGGATTCGATGTCGTGGTTGCCTTGGGTGACCATCCATGGGTGGGAGGAGGCGAGCGGCTCGACGAGGCGGGCGAAGGAGTCCCAGCGGGGCTGGTAGAAGTCGGCGTAGGAGAGGTCGCCGGGGAGGAGGAGGACGTCGTGGCGAGCGTTGGAGATGTGGGTGAGGGTGGAGTTTGTCCATCCCGTTTGGCCGAGATCTCCTGCAGGTAGGAAGCACAGAATTATCATAATATAATATAAAGCAAAAGAAAATATCAACCAATAAAAGACTTTATTGCTTCAGTTTTCCAATTTTTTTTTTTATAAAAACTATACAAAGGGTCTATTTGGGCAGCTGAATTTTTGTTTTTTTTAAAGGTGAGTGTGAAGTTTGGAGAAATTATTGTCGTGGCGAGCGTTGGAGATGTGGGTGAGGGTGGAGTTTGTCCATCCCGTTTGGCCGAGATCTCCTGCAGGTAGGAAGCACAGAATTATCATAATATAATATAAAGCAAAAGAAAATATCAACCAATAAAAGACTTTATTGCTTCAGTTTTCCAATTTTTTTTTTTTTTATAAAAACTATACAAAGGATCTATTTGGGCAGCTGAATTTTTGCTTTTTTTGTGAAGGAGAGTGTGAAGTTGGAGAAATTATTCTAGTGGGAAGTTTTCGTCCGACTGTGAGTGTATATAATATTTATACACTGTGTAAAAATAAAAATAAATTTTGTATAAAATTATACACAATGTACACACTATATACACTCATAGTCTGGATAGAAGTTTCAGTTCAGACTCGGCATAAAATAATTTCTCGTGAACTTGGGGAGAGTAATTTTTTAAAAATTGTTGTGTTGCGAGCACTATAAATATATGTTTTATTTTAACGAAACAGATAATAGTTTTATTATAACTCTCGCATATTAATAGTTATGTTCGCAAAAGAACATTTTTTTCCTAGAATGTTTTTAAAAAATAACAAAAAATCAGTAGCCAAATAGAAATATTATTATGAAGTGAAAAATCAAAGTAGTCAGAAAGCTTTCCCAAACAACTCGTATGGGCCAGTTTTCATTTTTTAATAGGCTGTTTGCCAAGTTGCTATTGAGAAATTAACTTACCTACTTTAATTGCAAAAAAAATAATTTTCTATCGTAATTTTTTTAAAAATAATGAAAAAATAGTGAGAAATTAGTAGATAAGCAAAATTGTATTGTCTGAAAAATAAAGCAGAAAAAATTTTTCCCAAATAGATTGTAACAAATCAAAACTTATAAAAAATATTTAATCACCATTAGTTATTATTAATTTTTAAACATTTACAAAATAAAATAAAAGAAAATCTTATAATCAGCACTTAGTTAATTTTATAGACAATACTAAGGAAAAAAACTAAATTTATGATCATTTTATTAATGAAAAAATAGTGAGAAATTAGTAGATAAGCAAAATTGTATTGTCTGAAAAATAAAGCAGAAAAAAATTTGTCCCAAATAGATTGTAACAAATCAAAACTTATAAAAAATATTTAATCACCATTAGTTATTATTAATTTTTAAACATTTACAAAATAAAATAAAAGAAAATCTTATATTCAGCACTTAGTTAATTTTATAGGCAATAATAAAGAAAATACTAAAATTATAATAATATTTTATTAATTTGACCATATAAAGGCAAATATATATAATCAATAAATTCGTAATTAATTTTTTTATTGCGTTAGTTTAATTAATAATTAAATTTTAGATGTTAAGTAAAATAAAAAAAAATATAAACAAAATCTTCAAAAAATGCGTAGACATAAAATTAAAACTACGTGAATAATTTAAAATGATTGGAACTCAAAACAATTTAAAAGAACTCAGCAAAGTGGTATGGTAACCGTAGGTGAGATTTACCGATGACAACAAATTTGATGGGGAGCTTGGCCGGAGGCGTCTTGAAGAAGAACTCCCGCGAAGGATTGCCGCTACAGCGGTAGTAATACACGGTTCCTGGAACCAACGGACCGATCACGGCCTCGTGGATGTTGCCCGATTTATAAAGCATCGTGTACGAGTAAGACGACGTCGATCCGACACTAGACATGCCGTAATTCTCCGTCTCCGTTCCGTAATCCACCGTCGCCGGCGCATCATTCTCCGTTATCCACGTCACCCTCATCCTGTCCGGTCCCACCATCGATATATGTACCTAGTTCACCGAGAAAATAGGACAGTGGAATTGACGGGTGAGATCGCAGGATCAGATTTCTCATCAATCACAATTTACAAAGCACACATTTAAATAAAATTGATTTTTTAAAATTTTTTTGGGGAAGTTGAGGGAAACACCCAACTATTTCATTAATTGATAAAAAAATTAGTCTTATAAGACTAAAAAAAAAAAAGAAAAACCAAAATAAAAAGAGAACACTAATTGTTAAAGGCCAGAATATATGTGACAGCAGAGTAAGAGAATAAAATGTTTTAGCAATATATGCATATCTGACACACCAATAGATACTTAAGAGAGAAAAGAACACCATACATTTTTAACGTGGAAAACCCAGAATGAAAAACCACAGGGCCCGACCAAAATGAGAAAGTTCCACTAAATTTGAATGAATTACAAAGTTTGATTCGCTCTTTTTATTTGAGACGATGGAATTACAATAGATTGGAGAATCAGACGAAAGCCTAACGATGATTAACGAATGAGCGGAAGTTCGACAACGGTCGGGAAGAAACTTCGGCGGTGGTCGACGAACGGGTGGAAGTCGGGATGAACTTCAGCGGTGGTCAATGAACGGATGAAAGTCGGGAAGAACTCCGACAGTGGTCGATGAATGGGTGGAAGTCCAAAGGTAGTTGGGAGGAACTCTGACGGTAGTCGGCAAACATACGGAAGTCCAACAGTTGTCAGCGATAAGATAACTCACTGAGCTCTCTCATTCTTCTCTTCTTTTTTTCCCTCTTTTTTCTCTCCTCCATGTGAAGAATATTGGCCTATTTATAGGGTTTTAAGAGTGACATGACTTGTAATTATGAGGAAGATCAATGTTAAGATGGTAGTGGTTTGAATGGACAACCAATCTTGATCTCCTTGATCGTGGACCGTTTACTATTATTTGAATGCCTCAATGATATTGAAGTTTGGTGATCTTGGGCTTGTTGGATTCATCTCGCTGAGCCGATCGATTCGACTATAAGTACGTCATGTTTAGAATTCGTTTGTAATCCAAATTATAGTTTGAACCTTCCAAAAGTGCTTTGAACCCTTGATTTTGGCACATTTGGGCTTGTATTGGACTAATTTTGGTGTTGTTGTGTTCGTCTTTTCAAGACATTCAGTTCGACTATAAGTTTGCTGAAATTAGAGCTTTGATGATCCCAAATTTAAATTTGTAACCTTTCAACTCAATTTTGTTTCGAGATTCATGATGAATCATGATTATTTTTGGTGACATATCAATAATAATAATGGGGCTCGTATTAAAATCGGGTTTAACATCTATGATGCATGTCATGTTTAGAAATTGTTTGTAATCCAATTTATAGTTTAAACCTTCCAAAACTGCTTTGAACCCTTGATTTGGGCTCATTTGAGATCAAATTGTATTGATCTTGGTGTCGTTGGGTTCGTCTTTTCGAGGCATTCAGTTCGACTATAAGTTTGTTCAAATCAGAGTTTGGATGATCCCATATTTAATTTTGGAAGCTTTCAACTCTTTTTTTTTTCAAGATTCATGCTTGATCAATGCGACATCTATTGGTTCACATCAGTCTATTGCTCGCATTTTAGTTGAATAGGATGTGTCCAAATAGTATCCAGACAAAATTTGGATTGGTCCGGATAGCTCTGGTTATGTTCAATCTGTGATCTTTGAAGATTTTTCGAACTATTGTTCGCATTATCTTGCTCTAGGTCATTCTATGGCGGGGTGTATGATTCTTCATCCTAATCTTGAATCTGTTGCTTTGATTAATCCTTCTGTTTTGGCGGAGGTGGCTGTTCATGGGGTTTTGCCAATTATTTCTGTGGCAGGTTTGGAGGGGGCGGACACTGTTGCCTAGGCTGCTATTTCTTCGCCTGCTAGGATTGAATTGCTTGTGCCTTCTAATGTGGCTTTATCCCATGATCATGTAGTGAATGGTGTTACGCCTGTTATGGGTGTCCCTCGTGTTTCTGCTGATTTTGTTGCTCATGTTCTAGTTGAGATTGGTGTGGAGCGTGAGGAGGCTAGTCTAGTTAATTTTGTCTAGTTAGACTCTGTTGAGGGTTTGGCAGAGGCCCTATTGCTCATTTTTCTCGGTTGTGTTTGAGTGAGCCAGGTGATGTGAAATGTGGCCTTAATTCGAAACCTACAGTTTCATGTGCGGGTAGGTCTGCTTGATCAAGACTATTTTTGGCGACTTATCAATAATAATAATGGGGCACCAAATGGAGAGTTAACGTCTTAATTTTATACGAAGATCTAACACGTATAATAAAAAAAAGGGTAAAATAATCATAAGAGACAAGATTTTTATTTTTAAGAGTGCGTCAAACCCATACAATAGTGTTAGGAGCACCAACAACAAGCTATCGTGGCATGCTTTTTTAGGGGTGTCAATTTATTACATGATCTGAAAATCCGACTTGAACCCGACCAGAACCAAACTCGAAAAATTCAGTTTAGAGTTGATCCGTTTAACAAACGAGTCGGATTAGGGTTCTAATTCCCGACCCATTTGAAAAATTGGGTCAAATTCGAATCAACCTGCAAATCCAGAAATGACCAGCATCCCACACACTCGCACCTTCCCCCTACACCACGAAAAAAGCTAAAATGATCGTATAAGCTCTATGGTTGTAATCATCCATAGATCGATTAGAAATCATCATTCCACGTTTTGTCCCAATAATAATAATAATAAACTTACAATTAACAATTAATAGTATCCACACAAAATCCTTCGGCGGTCACCCAATTAAAATTATAAGTGCAAGCAACAATGTGAACACAGAGAAGCAGCGCAATAACTATCATTTTCTTCTCACAAAGTCTCATTCGGACAGTATATTCGGATATTCCGAACTTAATCCTAATATCATTGTAAGGGTTTTTTTACTATAATTAAATTATATACTTAGAAAAGAAGAAAAAAAAATCCAGCGAAATTAACGGTAGCAATCGCCTGTTAAAAAGATACTCCTTAATAAACACAAGAAAAGAAGTAGCCATACCTGTTGCGGAGTGTTGCCATCAGCGTCGTCCGCTACAGAAACGAAGAGCGTCTCTCTCGCCTTCGGGCGGTTGTAGCCGGAGGCAGCGCCGCCGCCGGAGCACCCCACTGCCACCGCGAGGAACAGAAGAAGAAAAAGACGACAAGGACGAAGAAACGGAAGTGAAGCCATAGCCTTCGAAGCGTTTCAATAGAAGTTATTTATACTTGAAAGCAAAGACTGCAGAAAAAGAGCAGAGGGAAACTCTATATTCACGGTTCACAATCAGGATGAAACGGTTCATCGGTCCGTTACGTGTATATGGAGCGGGACACGTGTTTCACAAAGCGGCGGGTTCACACGTGTGAAACTTAACACAGCTCTTGAGATGAAAACAGTTGATCTCGCTGGACGGATCTCTGCCGTTAATATTTTTTGATCATATAAAGTGACTCAACTCCAATTAGGAAAAATTAAGTCGGCCAATTTACTAATTGATCTCTGAAAATATATTTGTTTCGATATTCAGAGAATAATAGATAATTGCACATTTTAAATCTTTTTTCCCTTAATAAATGATGCATTTTAACTATTTTATTTTCCGTCAATAAATATATTTGTTCAAATTTCTAAGAATTTTTTTTTTTTTCTGTTCACCCTGAAAATTATATATGCCCCAATCTTATTATATTGACCGACAAAAAAAAGTTGATTTCGCCAGTCAGGATATCTATATGTAAATTTTATTAGGATCCTTTAGATGATCATTAAAGGCCTGAATATTTAATAATTATATTATTATTAAACAAATAATTTTTTTGGGGCAGCAGCCCATATATTGAAGAAAAAAACTATTACAAGTAAAAGAAAAAAAAAACTATAGTCTAGATTCTCAACAACAAAAAGAGAATCAAAGACTCAAAATAAAGAAAAGAAATACAATCACCTGAAGGTCAAAAAACAGCAGATGAACTTAGCCAAGGCTAAGTCGGACTCAGGTGCTCTGTGCAAAAAAATTCTTAGAATGGTCAGCACAAGAGCAATGCCCCTGGTTGCCAGGGTAGACCATCCGAGGGGCTGCTGTAAACAACAATCATCATCGTCCATTGATACCAGCCCACCAACAAATTCAATTGATATCTTTCCATCTCAAACTTTTCTTGTCAACCACATATCTGATTTTTGCAATAACTGTAGCAGAACAGTCATAATTCCCCCAAAAATACGATCATTGCAAGCCCTCCAAATGAAATAAATAGTAGCACACGCAGTTAACAGTTTGAGATTAATACGATTTTTACCAAAGCCCTGATCAAACACACTATCAAAAGCCTGAAAAAGATAGGGTTTCATTAGCCTGCTACTAAGCCAAGGCAAGAAATACAGGATAATCTTGAAAGTGAAACTGCGTTCAAAGAAAAGGTGCCCTGTGCTATCTTGCTCGGTATGACAGAAACAACAAGAATTAGCAACCATAATACCACGCATATTCAAATTCTCAGCAGTCTTAAGCCCATTTTTAAAAGCCAACCACGCATAAGCAGAGTACCTCAAAGAACATTTTTTGTGCCAGATCAGCTTATGCCACTGAACGGTGGGGTGATTGGCAAAAAATTGCAGTTTGTAAGTCTTGACTGAGGGGTTAGAATTACCCAGCCAGTTATGACAATCCTCATTCTCATAAATCTCAACAGCATGAATCTTAGAAATAATATCATTCCCAAAAGCAACAGGAACAGCCCAAATACCATCCTCGATAATCTTATACACCGCCCAGTTGGAGTAATTGCTAAGCCGAGAAGGATCCAGATTGCTGCTATCGAACCAATTAGCAATAGAATAACCATTGATCCAGGGGTCCCAAAGTAGGGAAAGAATGCTATTGGAACCCACATTCAAAGAAATACAATGCTTAACTTTAAGTGCAGTGTCATGTAAAAATTTCCAATAGGGAGAAGTGGGGAAAGGTTTCCAGAGAGAGAGGTAGTTAGACCTCCACCAGGAAAAAAGGAGGTTGTTAGAGTGTAAAAACCTCCAAATAATAGCACAGCCAAAAGAATGATACAAAGTATTAATAGATTGAATGCCCAGACCACCATTCTGTATAGGAATACAAGTGTCCTTCCAAGCTATAATGTGAAGCTTCCTTAATTCAGTGTTGCCAAAATACAAAAATCTGGAACATAAATGGTTAATAATCTTACAGCAGCCTTTAGGAATTATCGAACCCCGAATCCAATAAGCTATGGTATTGCTAATAATGAATTTAAGTAATTGAATTCTCCCAGCAAAGGATAAGGTTTTAGCGGTCCAGCCATTCAACTGAGTCGCAATTTTCTGGATAAGAGGATTGAAATCCCTGATTCTAAGCTTTCTATGAAAGATGGGAAGACCAAGGTAAGTGACAGGGGAGGTGGATTGTTTAATTTGAAGGATGTCAGTAATGGCTGGAGCTTGCAGGCTATCTTTGGAGAATAGGATAATGCTTTTAAGAGGGTTAATACAAAGCCCCGTGGAGTCACCAAAATTCTTAAAAACCTTGTTAAGAGTGGTAGCATTCTCAGCAGTAGCCAAACCAAACACCAAGAGATCATCCGCAAACAACATATGAGATACCATACAATTACCAGAAGAAACAGCAGTAAAGGTAGAGTTAGAGATGACCTCTTCAATGGAATTGGAGAGAGCATCCATCACAATACTGAACAAGTAAGGAGACAGCGGACAGCCTTGTCTGAGACCAGACCTGGACTGAAAATAACCCTCAAGAGAACCGTTAATACTAACAGAAAAATATACCTCAGAGGTGCAAGCTTTGTTCCATTCCACAAAAATGTCAGGAAACCCCTTCTCAGACAGCCTTTTATAAAGAAATTCTCTCTATACCGTGTCGAAAGCCTTGGTGATATCGAATTTAGCATAGAAGAGCTTCTCATTGTTTTTATGATTGAATTTGCCCAAAATCTCAGAGGCAAGAATGATGTTATCAGAAATCATTATCTTTTTAATAAAACCACTTTGACTATGATGGATGATAGAATGCATATCAGATTTCATCCTATTAGCAATGATTTTTGCAATAATTTTATAAATAACATTGCAAAGAGAAATGAGCCTAAAATCCTTGACAGTGTTGGCATGCGGCAGTTTTGGGATAAGCGCAATGGCAGTGGATTTGATTTGCTTAGGCATATGACAAGAGGTAAAGAAATAACAAACAACCTTACAAACTTGATGCTTAAGAGAAAATGATACTTGACAGTGTTAGCATGCGGCAGTTTTGGGATAAGCGCAATGGCAATGGATTTGATTGGATGGCCCAGGTAGCTCTGTAAAATTCAAACGTAAAACCATCAGGATCAGGGGCCGAATTCTTCTTCCCAGAGAAAATGATACTTCTAATTTCTTCTTCAGTAACAGGAGATGTAAGGGAAGAAATAAGGTGATTAGGAATAACATTTCCAATGGGGGTATGGTGTAGGTGAGAAATGGTTCTAGTGGGATTGAAGAGCTTAGAGAAATGGTTAATAAATTCAAGAGAAATATCCTGATGCTCAGTGAGGGTACCACGATCAGTAGAGAGCTCTTTAATATGGGCATGGTTCTTATTAGCGTTGATCTTAGAGTATAAGAACTTAAGATCATCCTCCCCTTGAGTAAGCCAATTAACCTTTGCTCGTTGGGTCATCCAATCAAAAAGAGTGGTTTGGTGAAGAAGAAGATTGGAGTTGATATTCTTCAATTTGTCATTAAGAGACGAATCAAGAGGGCTGTTTTGAATTTGCCTAACAGTAGTGTTTTGGAGCTCAGATAGAGCCTCAATATCCCTTTCAATGTTATTAGCGTTGGACCAGTATTTATGCTTGAGCTTGTTCTAGAGGGATTTCAACTTGTAGGTAAAATCACTGTGAGGACTGCTAACATTGGGCTGAGAAAAGATATCTAACAGACAGTTCCAGAAATCAGGTATACAAGTGCAATAGTTTTTGAACATATATCTATGACCTCTAGTAGCAATCACAGAATTCAAAAGCAACAGTGGAGAATGATCAGAGCAGCCGGGATCTCCAACCAAATAATAAGAATTAGGGAAGATAGAAAGCCATACATCATTGACAAGAACCCTATCCAGCTTGATATGGATGGGGTTGTTGCTTTGCTGATTAAACCAAGTGTAGAAGTTCCCCACAGACGAGAGGTCAAAGAGGCCAGCATTGAAAATCATATTATTGATATCACCCAGACAGTTGTTGGTAAGGGGGGTTCCCCCAGCTTTTTCATTGGTGAAACGGCAACAGTTAAAATCCCCAATAACGGCCCAAGGGATATTGGTGGAGTTAGCAATGGTCATAAGATCCTTCCAAAGCGTTTGTCTTTCAAGCTGAGAATTGCTGGCATAGACAGCTGTTATGGCAACACAGCAGGTCGAATTAAGCTCAATAAAACCATGGACAAGTTGACTGGTGGTAAGGTGGGGGGTGAAATTGATGTTGTTAGAGTTCCATTTGACCCAAATGCGACCCGGGTTGGAGTGCTGGAAGTTATCACCGGAGTTTTCCATAGAGAAAATTCTATGATGTCTTTGGTACCAAGGGTTAATGAGGTTGGGAAGAGTGGTTTTGGCTTCAAGGATAAAAAGGAGGTCAATACTATGGCTTTGAACAAAATTTTTACAGCTGAGAACCTTAGCAGGGTTATTAAACCCACAAATGCTCCAAGCCGCAAGATTAGGAGGTTTTACTGACATTTGGAATTGGATGGTTTTTGGCATTTTTGCCACGGGTCTGTTTATGATTTTGTTGGGTAGATTGCTGTGTTTTTGTGGAGTTGAAGCTAGAGGAAGGTTGGTCCAGATTGGTTGGAATTGGAGGTTGGTGATTTCTGGGGGAGGTGTGAGGTGGGCTGTTGATGTTTTGGTTAGCCAAAATAACTTCAGAGGAAGGCAGTTGTGTTTGGTTTTGGATTGGTTGGACCGGGTCATTGTCCGCAAGAACAATAAATTTGTTCTTAGAAGTAGAAATGGGAGGGTTTTCAAATCTAGTGATAATCTGTTCTGGGAATGAAACAGGATCATCAGACTGTGAGTTTAAATTTGGAATTATAGGCTCTGAAGGAATATTGTGTAGAAGAGGAGGGAGATGGGATTGCTGTTGGATATCTGGCTTAGCCATTGCAGGAGGTTTTGATATAAGAAGCCGTGGCGGTGGCGTGAGTCTGGGTTTACGACTGCTGCTTCTACCCCTAGGTTTGGTAGCTGCAGGAGGTCGTATAA